GACTCAGGCAACAACTAGCATGACGTCGTCACCTCGTCCTAGTAGTGATCTATCCGCATCTTTTTGTGTGCTTCCCTTCAGTCCCACTAACTAAAGACTCGCATATTCAGGTCTATAAGAGCCTCCACCTTGTTATCCCTCGCATCCGAGCCAACTCGGCAAGGAAAAGGAGAAATTTCGAAGGCATCCACGTCGTGATGAGTACTAAATCTGATCTCGTGTTCATCCCATCGCCGGGCCTTGACCACCTGGTGTCAACGGTGGAGATCGCCAAGCTCCTTGTGGACCGCAATGATCGGCTTGTTGGAAATATGGGATAAATTGATGGAAACTTGGGCGCGAGCGCACATCCCGCGTACACGATCCGTTATTCGTATTGATTTTATAACGGCAGATTTAATCGTCCGTTATTCGTATTGATTTTATAACGACTGCATTTAATCGCCGTTATTATTCCCGAAATGCTCTCCCTGCGTTCTATTTTTTTATCGAAATCATTCTTCCTCAGGTTTTACACTCTCTCTGCATTTGCACTGTTTTTCGGTAGTGTTCATTTCGAGTTTGTTCAAGTTCGCCGGAAGCTTGGAAGTGCCGTGCTCTATTCTTCGCTGTCAACCGTTGTATCCGGGAGACAGACGTTCACGAAACCTCGATCGCGTCTGGAGGGAACGAATCTGTTTTAAGGAAATCGTGTCAAACACAAGCCTCGGTATTCATTTGTATCGATTCCGACTTTGTTATTGCAATTTCGTTTCTTTACAATTCTGTATTGTTTGTAATATTTATGCTAATGCCGATTTGAATTTTCGCAATCCGTCACCATCCTCGTCATGAAGTTGCCCTTCGACTCAGAAGCCGACTCCCGCGTCGAGTCGTTCGCAGCCACCGTCGCTGCAGGTATCCGCTTCGTGATCCTCCGTCGGCGAAGCCCCTCCCCGGATACGTCCTCAGTGGCCTTCCTCAGTCACTTCATTGAGAGCCACAAAGCTGATGTCCGAGAAGCCGTGGCTGACCTCCACGCGTGCGGCTCCCCACGGCTCGCCGGGGGAGAGCGCCCACGGTGTACCCCATGGGCCCCATACTGAAAATCAAGGTCGAGAGCAAAAACGGTTTTGATATCCCGGACTGGCTCGACCAGCAGCCTGATGCGTCAGTGGTGTTCCTGTGCTTCGGGAGCCACGGGAGCTTCAATGAGGACCAAGCGAAAGAGATTGCTTGTGCGTTGGAGCGGAGCAAGTACTTCTTCTTGTGATCCCTACGGTGGCCGCCGGCAAAGGGAAAACTGGAAGCCTCCCGTGGCTACATGGATCTCGCAGAGGTCTTGCCCGAAGGGTTCCTCAATAGGACGGCCAGAGTCAGGAGAGTGATTGGGTGGGCCCCGCAGGTCGCAGTCCTGGCCCATCTATCGGAGGGTTTATGTCGCATTGCGGGTGGAACTCCACCCTCGAGAGCATATGGTTCGGCGTGTCAATCGCCATGTGGCCCTAGTACGCGGAACAGTAGTTCGACATGTTCCAGCTAATGGTGGAGCTCGGCCTCGCGGTGGAGTTCAAGATGGATTATCGGAGAGATCTCATCAAAGGGAGTGACGCCGTCGTGACGGCAAATGAAATAGAGGGAGGGATAAGGAAGTTAATGGAGGGCAAAGGGCCGGCCGGGGAGAGGAGGATGAAGATGAAGGAGGTGAGCGAGAAGAGAAGGAAGGCTTTGATGGAGGGTGGCTCTTTTTATTCGTCTTTGGGTCGCTTCATTGAGGATGTCTGGAGTCAATGAGCCTCCTGGTATTTTGAGTACTGTTGTTATTTTGATTCTATGATTACTTGGTGTGTTTTTCAGCGCTCCAATCCTTAAGGACTGTTCTAGTGTTTTTGTGACTATAAACCATGTTCATTCTTGTGGACCCTTTGACGTGTTTTATGTGGAACCATGCAAAGGTAAAGACAAGATATAGAAAGTGTCCAAAAAGAATTAATGGACCGGCAAGCATTCCTCCTTGATCTCCAAGTATAAATGGATTCCAATTTGCTCTTGCTTTCACCTCCAAGCTTGGTGTTATCCTTTAACTCTCTGCCTCCGGTGCTATTCTCATTCCTGCTTTAGAGAGTGTAGTGTGAAAAGCATTTGGGAGTTGACAAAATTGAACCTTCACACTTGAGGAATGTAAATTTGATTTGACCCCATATGGAACGCAAAGGATTTTCACCTTTTTTATTGAGGAAACCGGCGGCCTGCAAATTCATTTACACTAAAATAATATGAGATGTGCTAATCGCCCGTCCCTGCCCATCAGATGAGACCGGTTTTACGAGGAAGGCCGCATTTAATGTTTGGCAGAGTGAATTACATGTAGCCATCTTATGATAAGATTAATGAAATGCAATAGAAATAACTAGAGGTAAAATTTAAAATGCTCGAATTTTAGGACATGATGTTTAAGACTGCACAAATAATTCAAAGAATGTAATCTCACTTAACATGATACAATTCATGCGGATGCTAGTGGTTGTTACTTCCCGACCGATTTATTCACCAAAGGAAGATACTAATTACGATATACAAGTTCAATCAATGTAGTGATGTGATAGATTAATAATATTTTTACATAATAATTTATGAACTAACTATCAACATCAATATAAATTTAAACGGCGCACGTTATGACATCAATTGCAAGATATTCACGAGAAAACATCAAACTAAAACCAAACGCAATGTGAATTGGTTCGGATTAGACCATATTCAAGACAAGTTGCTCCGTGTTTTCAAATCGGATTGTGAGGGCATTGAGGGATCAATACTCGGATGACACTGAAGTAAAACATCAGTAGGCTCACACAATTGATTTAGTCGAAAGATGGGAACAAAAGTTCAAGTTCTCAGCACAATAAACACCACGAATGCCGACCAATTTCCATCGAATGCTCCGATGAACTCCGGCGAACGACGCGGCAACAAGAGCTCATCCGTTAAGAGTGCGTTTATTTCGCGGAAAATAAATGATTTGATTAACATTTTCCTAAAAATGATATGAACAAACAAAAAAAATTTCATCGTCCACGAAAATATTGAGACATAATTTTTTGTCGATAATGAAAATATTTATGGTCGACTATTTATTTCAACCGATATAAACGATCGTCTTTCCAAAAAAAGAATCGCTTGTATCGCTTGACGTAACTAGCCAATGAAAAATATTTTTATTATCAATAATAATTTATGTCTAAATATTTTCGTAAATGATGAAAATATTTTTCCCTCATTTAGTTTTGTAAGTGATACAAGTAATCATTTTTAGGAAAATGTACTCCGAATCATCCATTTTCACATTTTTCGCGAAACAAACTGATGACTTCTCAGTTCTTCCACCGATCACACCTCTGCATCTTGCTCGACCAGATTCTTTCGTGAATGCACACTTCTTTCGGTTTTTTATTCTCTCGAGTGTGCTGCCCATGTTGTTTTATACAGTGAGTTCTATTCTTCTTTGTTTTTTCTCCTGTTTTGTCTTCCTCGGGCCCCATATATGCCCCTCATATTCGACCGCGAATCTATCCCACATGGCCAAGAAGATCTTGCCCAATCCAACTGTGAAAATCCACCTTTCAATCGAAGAATTCTTGTTACGACCAACAAAAAAAAACAAATCGAAGAATTCTTGTCAAGGTTTCTCTCCGTTCCTTTCTGTTTTGGCCAGATTCTTTATCTTGTGTCGGTTTCTTTCCGAAATTTAACACCACATCCGCATCGCACATGTTATCAATAATTCACACGTCAGGCCAATTTGTGTATAATTCACAGTCAGACCTGTCTTTATTCGATGCCGACAAGTTAACCATAAACATAGTGACTCCAGTATAGAGCATGACCACAAAATTCTGCGATACGATTTTTTTTTTGTTAACCATGAGAGATATTTATAGGCAATAATTAAGTGTCAACAACTCCTCCACGTCCTTAAACCTTTCCGCCTTTTCAAATTCCCGGTAAATTTGTCCACATGAAATGTACAAGCCCTTGTTCGGAATCTTAGAGATCACATCTTCAAGTAATAAGATATAAGGATACAAGGCTGTCTTTTCTACTCAATACGCCAATCCTTAATGTCTTTATCTTATCCTACCTTCATCCTTCTGTCGATATTGGTCTAAATAATCCACAGATTATATAATAACTTCTTAATCTATCAATGATGTAACATCATATAAAGTTACAAATCACTCGATATTTTCAACATGGAACAGATTCTCGAGCGCATCATATGCATATGAGGCCAATTTTAAATATTATGAACCCGCTAACATTTTTCATTAATGTCTCGAGTTTGAATAGTGTAGGAGAGCCAACCGGATTGGATAATGTAGACTGATCCATGTTCGGTGAGGCGTAAGAGAAAGAGTCCTAATTCGATTTTGATTTCTCTTGCCTTTCTTTCAAATGATGATCTTGGACTTACTTGGGCGGTGGGGTCAAATAAAGAAGTGAACTTATAACCGGAGAAACTCAAGGGTTTGATTGGTCAATTATTGATATCCTTCGTACAGTAAAAGACTCATATATTATATATATATATATATATAATAGTACGGTCAGAGGGTTTGTGAGGGAAAGGAAAAATGCAAAAAAACGTGGGTTTTGCTAAAGGATGCTACACCCAAATTGTGATATTTTCGTTGTTGAAACATGAGTGTTTCAAACGGTGAGGTAATTCTCTACGAGGCTAAATATCGTGGATTTGACTGAACGTGGAAAACATTCGAGCTTGTTAAGTGATTGTAACGATTATTTATCATTGATTTTTTCCGTGAAGTAGATATCAATATTCAAATCAAATTAAGTAAATCTCTGATTTTTTTAATTATTCCTTGTTTCTTTCTCCGGTTATTTTCACGTTGATTTAATTGCATGCATCAGTTGATGTGCGTCGGGGTAATTTTAGAATTTCTCGTTGAGTAGACCCACTGCGAGCAATAACCAAACTTAGAGTACAACACACCCGAGTCAAACTAGACGACGACGCAGACCACAATAAGCACCACGTCGTCACTCCCTCACCTTGTCCCATTGATCTATCCACATCTTTTTGCGTGCTTCGTTCGTATCCACTACCTCGTTATCATCTTCGCAGTGAACTCAGTAAGGAAAGGAAGAATTTTCGAAGGCATCATCGTCATCATGAGTACTACATCCGAGCTCGTGTTCGTCCCATGTCCGGGCGCCGGCCACCTTGCTTCGATGGTGGAAATGGCCAAGCTCCTCGTCGACCGCGACAATCGGCTCTCCGTCACCATCCTTATCGTGAAGTTCCCCTTCGACTCCGAGATCGATTCTCACATCGAGTCGCTCGTCGCCTCCGTCGCTGCCCGCATCCGCTTCGTCCTCCTCCCTCGACGAAACCTGTCCCCGAGGACGTCCCCACTGGCCTTCATCCATCACCTCATGGAGAGCCACAAATCTGACGTCCAAGAAGCCGTCGCCAAGATCTCTGCCTGCGGCTCGCCGCGGCTCGCAGGGCTCGTCGTTGACATGTTTTGCACCTCGATGATCGACGTGGCCGTCGAGTTCGATGTCCCTTCATACATGTTCTTCACGTCGGGCGCGGCGTTCCTCGGAATCATGCTGCACCTCCAGTCTCTCCAAGACGAGCAACACATGGACCTGACCAGGCTCAAGGGCTCTGACACCGAGTTGGACTTCCCGTGCTTTGCTAACCCGCTGCCCGCCGCCAAGTTCTTGCCCTTGGAAGTGTTTATGGAAGAAGATTGCCAGCTATTATTGCGTTGCGCACAGAGGTTTAGGGAAACCAAGGGAATTTTGGTAAACACACTTGCCGAGCTGGAACCACGCGCGATAGAGGCCTTGGCCGGCCTTGGAGCGCCCGCGGTGTACCCCGTGGGCCCCATACTGAACATCAAGGTCGAGAGCAAAAAGGGTTTCGAGATCCTGAACTGGCTCGACCAGCAGCCAGACGGATCGGTGGTGTTCCTGTGCTTCGGGAGCAAGGGGACTTTCGAAGAGCACCAAGCAAAAGAGATTGCCCACGCACTGGAGCAGAGCGGGTACCGCTTCCTGTGGTCCCTACGGCGGCCGCCTGCTAAGGGCAAGCTGGAAGCCCCATGTGACTACGCAGATCCTGCAGAGGTCCTACCCGAGGGCTTCCTAAACAGGACAGCCGGGGTTGGGCGAGTGATCGGGTGGGCCCCGCAGGTCGCGGTCCTGGCCCACTCGGCCATCGGAGGGTTCGTGTCGCACTGCGGGTGGAACTCCACCCTGGAGAGCATATGGTTCGGCGTGCCGATCGCCGCGTGGCCCCAGTACGCGGAGCAACAGTTCAACGCGTTCCAGCTAGTGGTGGAGCTCGGCCTCGCGGCGGAGATCAAGATGGATTATCGGAGAGATCTCAGTAAAGGGAGTGACCTCGTCGTGACGGCAGACGAAATAGAGGGAGGGATAAGGAAGCTAATGGAGGGCGAGGAGGCTGGGGAGAGGAGGAAGAAGGTGAAGGAGGTGAGCGAGAAGAGTAGGAAGGCTTTGACGGAGGGTGGCTCTTCTTCCTTGTCTTTGGCTCGCTTCATCGAGGATGTCTGGAGTCAATGAGTCTTCATTTAGCTGGGAGACGGGTTGGAAGGTATTCTGAGTACTGTTGGTATTTTGATTGTATGATTACTTGGAGTGCGTGTGTTTAAGGGTTTCTGTGGCTATAGGAGTCCATAATCCATGTTGATTTTTGTCGACCCTTGACGTGTTTTTAGTGGAACCAGTCATTTGGGTTCGGCCCACGAGCTATAATCTGCAAGGCAACGACAGATATAGAATGTGTCCAAAAAGACCTCATTGCTAAAATTTCACGTGATAGATTTTCGTGAACTTGCACTTCTTTGATCTTCAAGTATAAATGAAACTCCATATTGCTCTTGCTTTCACCTCCCCCAAAGGTTTGTTGTACTTCTTCTCTTGCGTCCTTTGCTGTTCCCATTCCTGATTCTGTAAGTTAGGGTCCTCTGTTCTTGCTTCCCTTGTGATAGAAGATGAGTGTGAAAAGCATTTCGGAATATAGCAAATTAGCAAAATTAAACTTCAGTGGAAAATGTAAATTCGATTTGACCCCATGCGGAACACAATGGACCTACGGATTCATGGACCGAATAAAACACTATAAGACGTGCTAATCGCCCCCTCCTTGCCCATCAGGTGTGACGGTTTTACGAAGAAGGCTGCATTTAACGATTGGCTGAGAGAATCCCGTTAAGGCCAACATCTCGTAAGATTGATGGGACGCAGTAGACAGAATTAAAGGCAGAATCTAACATGCTCGAGTTTAAGGATGTTGTCATATTACCGCGAAAAATGACAAGATTTTGCAATTAAATTAAATTGAAATCTTGAGAAAATAAACAATAAATAATAAAGGGCATTAGAGTTTTACGTGTTTTGGTCCAACTGTTTGTACTTACTCAATGAGAATAGCCAGTAACAAATAATCCATTAATAATCGAACAATCAGAGTTAAAATTGCTCACATACTCGAGAGTATTTCTCATACATAGATTAAGCATAATCTCCTAATGTTTATAAATAAATAACTCAATTGTGATGTAAATTCACGGCACAAAATCCAACGTGTGTTCAATGCTACTCCTTGTTGGAGCGTTCCCTTGCGGCTCAAGTGTGTGTTCTGCTGGAGAACCCACTAGTTGTTTTCACGAGAAAAGGAGGAGAGAGGCAAAAGTTAAAACACCTATATTTTACTTGAAATAATTGTATTAGAAATTCTAAAACTTATCACGAAGGTATTACTAAATCCTAAAACTTTCAAAAAGTACAATCAATTTCTAAAATTTATCACGAAAGTACAATTGAGTCATAGCAATCAAGTCTCAAACTTGTCAAATTTGTGCAATCAAATCCTTCTATTAACTCCATCTTGACAACCGCGAAAATTGCTAACAAAATTAGGACTTGATTGCATTAGCTTGATAAATTTTAGGAGTTGATTGCACTTCCTAAGTGCACTTATCCCATTTAATTTTGTTTTCCTTCCTCGACAAAGACCTTTTCACCCCCACAATAAATATATAATTATAGAATATATGAGCCCTTATTTTGTCATGCAGTGGCTTTCTTCGGGGAGCTTTTATTTCCCTCCTGTGCGGCTACATATAAGAGTCAAACAACCACACATCTCCTTTTGACCTAAACCTAATAAGCCGAATAGCCTTGGCCCCTCCGATGGAAACCAGTTGAGGAAACTACATCATCTATTGATCCTAATCCAATTAATTAAATAGATTTCTTGATATTTCTCACACGGACACAAACTCCATATATAATTTAACAAAGGACATGATATTCAAGAGGGGAAAATCGACCAAAAAGTCGTAACTTATTACACTTTTGTCAATACAGGCATAAATATTTTAATTATGCTAATTGAGTCCTGAACATTTTAACATTTTACCGATTGAATCCATCCGGCCAATTTTGGCCTGAAATCGCTAACGTAGATACCAACCGTCCTACATGGCACGATCGGCGCTAAAATTGACAATTTTAAATAATAATTAACATTTCGAATATTTTATTAATTTTTTTCTTTCTTTACAAATCTAGTAACCCATGCCCGATCCAACTCATACTCAACCCATACCTACATCGACTCATATTGCTAAAATACTTTAATATTTAATCCAATTGAGGAAAATCCATACCCAAAATGAGGTGAGAGCAAGGAGTAAACGAGTGTGAGATTGAATAAGGGCGTCATCAAGGTAGGTTGAGTTTAAGTAGGTTGTGAACTCATTTAACATTCATATTCTTTTGGGTTTTACCATTCCAAATCCATTTATAACCCATTTACAGAATATAAATAACCTATATAACAACTTAACCCATCAATAGGATAAGAAATGGGTCAATGACCCTAGTCCTAAACAGGCGACTAGTTAGATTTAAGCGTAACAGGTCTGTATTGATTCCTCATGTACGAGACGCTGGCTTTCCCAGCATTTTTAGATTTAGTTAGATTTCTCGTTCTTAAGCTTAAGCATACCTGCTCGGGCAAGGTGTTGTATAATGTTACTTCCATGGCTCGAGTTATTTTTCTTTTCCCATACTTTATTTGTTCGATAATTGATTTGTTTATTTTTTATTTGCTTGAACATTGATGCGTGGGTATTTTGATACACATTTTAAGAATTAAAAAAACGACAAAACGATTGCATAAAATAAGTTTTGGAGTGTCGCGACGCATACAAAGTTATTTATTCTACTCAATCACATTCTTCATAGTTAAGGGCATATATATACCGAATGTAGAATGCGTAATGTGCGGAAGTATTTTGGTGGTAACACGAGAGAATTGTAATATATTACTCAAGACCCACTCGTTATACCAAAATACAATACATAAAAATCTCACTCAAGTATTCCTATATAATTTCTCTCACCACGCACAAAACTCTCAAAGCAATACTTGCTAATACTTTAGCTCTCGCACTCATAGCGGAGCAACTCTCTCTCTCTCTCTCTCTCTCTCTCTCTCTCTCTCTCTCTCTCTCTCTCTCTCTCTCTCTCTCTCTCTCTCTCTCTCTCTCTATGTCGACTTGGGCTGCGCGTCTCTCTCCTCATGAAGCTCGCCTTTTGCATCTGGCGACTTATTTTCGTGTCCTTCACACCAAAGTGAAAGGGAAATTCTCAAGCCAAAGTCCAAGTTGACAAGTTGAACTTTGCTTTCCTTCTTCTATTGTTTTCTTTTGACCAACGCTTGCACCTTGAAAGATTCCAGCTGTCTTCAAAGATAGAGTAGGAAATGTAATTTTCCTTTACCAGAGCCGGTTACGTACCGAGGTCCAATTAGCGCTTTTCCTTCTCGCATATTAGGTGTTGACATCAACACCGAAGGGGGCCATTCACGGCCACATCTCAAAAAGGATCACTAGAACTTATCATGATAATCGTCGGTCAAAAACAGACCTGTCAAACGGGTGAATCAGGCTGGATTTGGGTCAGGTCGAAATTAGCCCGACACAAATTGACTCATTTTAACCCGTTTTGACAAATTTCTATGTAATACAAATTTAGTGATATATACTTAATCTGACCCATATTGCTATAACACTTTGATTTTTAATCTAGTATAAAAAAACTCGTATCCAAACTAAGATGAGAATGTTGGAGTTGGCGAATACTTCGGGGACCCTTATTTCTCATACCAGGCATGCCCACATGAGCTTCGGAAAATCGAAGTATAAACTGACGACATGTGACCCCTACGCACGGAATGTCAGGGGTCCCGCTGCCCGGACAACGAGCAGGGGGTGGACAGGGGCTCGAGGGTAGCGCCCCCGAAACAACATCGGGTTTGCTAACCTGTTTGTTGTGGGATCAAAGGGATTTAGATAGGCTTGGGCTTTGGGCCCATTTTAAGTCCTATATATATTGTACTCGTATGAGAGATCATTGTAACGAATTGTTGTGGTTGTAAAACCTAAATATCATAGTGGAATCCATTTGCAGGACGTAGCCCTATTCTGGGGTGAATCTGGGTAAACTCGTGTGTCAATTTTTCTATTATCTGTGTGATTATTCTGATTCTATTTCGGATATAACCCATCAGAGAGCACGAAATAAGCGATAGCGAAATCGAGTAAAGGCAAGAGAGAATCATAGAGGTGAGTTGAATTTAAATAAATTAGAACCAATTTAATACCCGTATTATTTTAGACTTTATCATTCTAAACCTATTCATGACCAATTTACTGAATATAGCAAACACATATAATAACTCAACTCATCAAATATTGGCTAAGAAATGGGTTTATGACCATTTTGATAGGTCTAATCAAGAGATAGACATTGGCTGCGTTTGGAAACACTTTGGGGGAAAGTTTTTGGGAAAATGCAAAGGACTTTAAGGCTCCGTTCGTTTGGCGGAAAATATTCTCCTTTTGGAAAATATTTTTCCGGAAGTCATTTTCCTGGAAAATGTTTTCCCGGAACATAATTTTCCGGTGTTCGGCGATCAATATGAAAAAGTTTCGGAAAATATTTTTCGCCGGAGACCGGCGGCCGCCGGCGGGCGACCGCGCGGCGGTGGCCGGCGGGCGGCCGGCTGTGGCGGCAGCCGGCGACCGGCGGCCGCGGCGGCGACCGGCGGGTGGCGTGGCGGCCGAGGCGGCGGCGACACGGCGGGCGGCGGAGCGGCCAGCCGGGCGGCTGGCGGCGGCCAGCGGCGCGCCCGGCCAGCTGGCCCGGGCGGCGGCGGCGGCGTCGGCGGCGGCGTCCGGCGGCGGCAGCAGTAGGCCGCCCGGGCGGTGGTATCATCCGGCCGAAGGCGGCGTCCCGGCGGTCCCGGCCGGGCGAGACGGAGGCCACGCCGGCGGCCCGGCGACGCGGCGGCGGTTGCGGCCGACAACCCGGCAGCGGCTATGGCCGCGATCGGCGGCGAGCGGCCAACGGCGGTGACCGGCGATCAACTTCCTCTCCCACGGAAAACATTTTCCCTCCCATGGGCAATTTTGCCTTCACTTTGAGGGAAAATGATTTCCTCTTTGTGAAAAGAGGAAATCATTTTCCTCAAAACAATGAAGGATTTGGGGGTGGGGAAGGAAAATGTTTTCTCACGGAAAACGCGGAAAATGTTTTCCAGAAAAATATTTTTCCGCAAACGAACACAGCCTAAGTTAAAAAAGTTTTTCAAAATGCAAATTGTGTTTGGTAAGTTGTAACTTAAAAGTCCCTTGCAAAGTAACTTTGGGTAAAATAGTGTTTGGAAAAATTATACTTGCAAAGCAAATTTTTCATTTTTTATTAAAGGAAAGTTGAAATCCTTCGCCGGCCGGCAAAGGATGGGCGGCCGCCGGCAACCTAGATCTGGCGCCGGAGGCCGTCATCTGAGGCCGTTCGGCCTCAAACGACGGCCGCGCAGCCTCAAACGACGGCCGCGCGGCGTCAGATCTAGGTCGCCAATGGCCTCGCCTGGGTTTCGCGACCCTCGTCGGGAGTCGCTTGACCCCAAGCAGCCCTCGTCGGTGGACGTCGCCAGAGGCTGCCTGAGGTCGTTCGGCCTCAGACGACCGCCGCGCGGCGCCAGATCTAGGTCGTCGGCTGCCCTCGAGGGTCATCTAGGTCGCGCGACCTCAGGCGGCCCTCGCCTGGGTTGCGTGGCCCCTCGCGGAGGTCGTGCAAACCCAAGCGAAGGTCGCTAGGTTGCGCGACCATGCCGGCCCCCCTCCGGCCGGTCGCCGTCGCCTCACAGCCATGCTGCTGAGGTCTCAGCGAAGAAGAATATGAACAGTACAGACGAGGCCAAAACCGGAAAATCAAAAAAAAGATAAGGATAGTTTCGAAAGAAAATTTTTTTCACTTATTCGGCATTGTTGCTTGCCGAGAATGCCCAAATGCCAAGGCACCTCCAAGGTTGCCTTGGGCTTTTGGCCTTTTGAAGGCCAACTTTGGCTCAATGGGATTTCTAAAAAATCTTGCCAAACACCAAAATTTAGCCCATCCAAAGCCCCCTTGGCAAAGCTAATTCCAAACGCAGCCATTATACAATAACTTCTCATTTGACAAGATATTGTAGGGTGTGTGTGTGTGTGTCTATATATATATAGCTCATCTAAATTGTTGATTATGCAGACTCTACATAACGCTCGCATAATTTATGACTTAGATGTTTTGAGTCTAAATGACTTACAGACCGTGCAATAACTTCTGAATTTGTCATGATGTAACATCATATGAACTGCCCCATATTTTCTCCTTGGAACAACTTCTTGAGTGTAGCGAATGAATGTGAATCCAAAGTATCCCGATTTTAAAATTTTGTTAGTTTCACGTGGGATCCATTAAGCATTTTTCGGGGAATAAACCGATGGCAAGCAATAAACCCCCTATCTTAACTTAGAATCCAACAGACTCGAGTCAAACTAACGGCGACTCGGGCAACATGACGTCGTCACCTCGTCCTAGTGATCCATCCGCATCTTTTTGTCTGCTTTCAGTCCCACCAAGTAAAGACTCGCGTATTCAGGTGTATCAGAGCCTCCACCTTGTCATCCTTCGCATCCGAGCCAACTCGGCAAGGAAAAGAAGAAATTTCGAAGGCATCATCGTTGCGATGAGTACTAAATCTGAGCTCATGTTCATCCCATCGCCGGGCCTCGGCCACCGGGTGTCGACGGTGGAGATCGTCAAGCTTGTGGACCGCGATGATTGGCTCTCCATCACCATCCTTATTATGAAGTTGCCCTTCGACTCGGAGGCTGACTCCCGCATCGAGTTGCTCGCAGCCTCCATCGCTGCAGGTGTCCGTTTTGTGATCCTCCCTCGGCGAAACCCCTCCCCGGATACGTCCCCAGTGGCCTTCCTCAATCACTTCATTGAGAGCCACGATGCTGACGTCCGAGAAGCCGTGGCTGACCTCCATGCATGCGGCTCCCCACAGCTCGCTGGGCTCGTCGTTGACATGTTCTGCACCACGTTGATCGAAGTGGCCAGCGAGCTCGGCATCCCTTCCTACGTGTTCTTCACGTCAAGTGCTGCAGGTCTCGGCTTGATGATGCACCTCCAGTCACTCCAAGATGAGCACCACATGGACCTGACCGGGCTTGAGGACTCAGACGCCGAGCTGGACTTCCTGTGCTTCAGGAACCCGCTGCCCGCGGCCAAACTCTTGCCCTCCGAAATATTCATGAAAGAAGTCGGCCGGCTACTCCTGAGCCATGCCCTGAGGATTAGGGAAACCAGGGCCATCTTAGCAAATACATTCACCGAGCTGGAACCGCGTGCGGTGGAGGCCCTAGTGGTCCTCGGAGTGCCCGCGGTGTACCCCGTAGGTCCCATAGTGAACTTCAGGGTTGAGAGTAAAAAGGGGCCGGAAGGTGATAATAGTCGGCGGGGTTTCGAGATTTTGGAGTGGCTCGAACAGCAGCCGGACGCGTCAGCGGTGTTCTTGTGCTTCGGGAGCTTTGGGAGCTTTGACGAGGCCCAGGCAAAAGAGATTGCCCGCGCATTGGAGCGGAGTGGGCGCCACTCCCTGTGGTCCATACGGCAGCCACCTGCAAAGGGCAAACTAGAAGCCCCCCTGACTATGCAGATCCTGCAGAGGTCCTACCCGTGGGGTTCCTGGACAGGACAGCCGGGGTCGGCAGAGTGATCGGGTGGGCCCCACAGGTCACGATCCTAGGCCACCCAGCCATCGGAGGGTTCGTTTCGCACTGCGGGTGGAACTCCATCCTAGAGAGCATATGGTTCGGCGTGCCGGCATTGTTGCTTGCCGAGAATGCCCAAATGCCAAGGCACCTCCAAGGTTGCCTTGGGCTTTTGGCCTTTTGAAGGCCAACTTTAGCTCAATGGGATTTCTAAAAAATCTTGCCAAACACCAAAATTTAGCCCATCCAAAGCCCCCTTGGCAAAGCTAATTCCAAACGCAGCCATTATACAATAACTTCTCATTTGACAAGATATTGTAGGGTGTGTGTGTGTGTGTCTATATATATACCGTGCAATAACTTCTGAATTTGTCATGATGTAACATCATATGAACTGCCCCATATTTTCTCCTTGGAACAACTTCTTGAGTGTAGCGAATGAATGTGAATCCAAAGTATCCCACAGACTCGAGTCAAACTAACGGCGACTCGGGCAACATGACGTCGTCACCTCGTCCTAGTGATCCATCCGCATCTTTTTGTCTGCTTTCAGTCCCACCAAGTAAAGACTCGCGTATTCAGGTGTATCAGAGCCTCCACCTTGTCATCCTTCGCATCCGAGCCAACTCGGCAAGGAAAAGAAGAAATTTCGAAGGCATCATCGTTGCGATGAGTACTAAATCTGAGCTCATGTTCATCCCATCGCCGGGCCTCGGCCACCAGGTGTCGACGGTGGAGATCGTCAAGCTTGTGGACCGCGATGATTGGCTCTCCATCACCATCCTTATTATGAAGTTGCCCTTCGACTCGGAGGCTGACTCCCGCATCGAGTTGCTCGCAGAGCCACGATGCTGACGTCCGAGAAGCCGTGGCTGACCTCCATGCATGCGGCTCCCCACAGCTCGCTGGGCTCGTCGTTGACATGTTCTGCACCACGTTGATCGAAGTGGCCAGCGAGCTCGGCATCCCTTCCTACGTGTTCTTCACGTCAAGTGCTGCAGGTCTCGGCTTGATGATGCACCTCCAGTCACTCCAAGATGAGCACCACATGGACCTGACCGGGCTTGAGGACTCAGACGCCGAGCTGGACTTCCTGTGCTTCAGGAACCCGCTGCCCGCGGCCAAACTCTTGCCCTCCGAAATATTCATGAAAGAAGTCGGCCGGCTACTCCGGAGTGCCCGCGGTGTACCCCGTAGGTCCCATAGTGAACTTCAGGGTTGAGAGTAAAAAGGGGCCGGAAGGTGATAATAGTCGGGGGGGTTTCGAGATTTTGGAGGGGCTCAAAAAAACCGGAGGCCCCCCGGGGGTGGTTTTTTGGGTTTTTTTGTGCGGGGGGGGGGGTGGGGGAGGAGGAGAGGCCCAAAAAAAATACACCCCCCCCGAACGGGGGGGGGGGCGCCCCCCCCCTCGTCCCCCCCCCACACCCCCCCAAAAAAAAAAAAAAAAAACCCCCCCAAAAAAAAACAGGAAAAGACCCCCCCCCCGGGGGGTGCCCGAGAAAACCGGGCGGGGGCAGAAGGGGGAACGGGGGGCCCCCCACCACGCACAACCAGCCCCCCCCCCGACCGGGTAGGGTTCGCTGGGGAGTGCAGAACCAGACCCCATAGAGCATGGGGTGGGGCGCCCCTCCCCCCCCCCCCCCCCCCAGAAAAAAAAACACAAAAAAACGTTCGAGCTGGTGGTGGAGTTCGGCCTCGTGTCAGAGATCAAGATGGATTATCGAAGAGATTTCGCCAAAGGGAGCAACGCCGTGACGGCAGACGAGATAGAGGAAGGGATAAGGAAGTTAATGGAGGGCGAGGAGGCCGAGGAGAGGAGGAAGAAGGTGAAGGAGGCCAGTGAGAAGAGTAGGAAGGCTTTGATGGAGGGTTGCTCCTCTTACTTGTCTTTGGCTGGCTTCATCGAGGATGTCCGGAGACAATGAGCCTTCGTTTAGATAAGGAGACCGGTTGACTGGTAGTTTGACTACTTTTCTTTACTTGGTTTTATGAGTTAGTATTTTGAATCTTCGATTACTTGGAGTGTGTGTGTTATAGTGATCTTGTGACCATAATCCATGTTAATATGTTATAAGGGGAAAAGATCAATTTGGGTTTGGCCATCAGCTGTTCATTATGTAAATGTCTGTTATTTGCAAAAATCACAATAGATATAGAAAATGTTCATAAATAATCAATTTATAAAAGTGTACATAGCCCGAAAGAGATTTCCGTGTTCTTGCACCTCTCAGTGAATGGGAATAATCCCAGATTCAAATTATAGGAAGTTGTTGGGAAAAGGAAATACGTCATCGTGAAGAAACGTGGAGTGGTATCAAAAACTAATCATGGTCAAGGCAGAACTCGTGTTCGTCCCGTCACCGGGCCGGGGGCCCGGGCCATCTCTTAATCGACGGTCGAGATGGCCAAGCTCTTGCTTGAACGCGACCACCTCGCCCACCGATCACCCTCCTGATCATGAAGCTGCCGCTCGGGTCTCAGCCCGACATTCACGACCGGATGCGATCGCTCGCCAACTCGATGGCTGTGCCTGCTTTTGTTTTGATCATCTCCCTTGGGTTCCATCCCATTTTCGAGACCAACCCCACCAAGGTCCGCAACCTCTACAACGAAGGCTACAGCGTACTCGCCGACTCCTACTGAGGTCCCACAACTCACCTTCGCTCACCGGGCTGGCCTCAACATGTGCTTCACGTTGAGTCCGGCTTTCCTGGACCGATGCTCCATCTCCAGAGGCTGCAGGATAAAGATTTTAAAAAAAAAACGATAAAAGAGGAGGAGTCTGTCAGACCGCCGTGTGACCACCCCAGCCGCCGAAGACTCCAGCTGAGAACGATCCTCTACGACTCCTATGGATCCAAAGGGACCCATCAGAGATGTTAATCACGCTCTGGTCACACGGCCTCGGTTCATCCACCAGACTTTGGTTCCTGTCTCCTTATGTCTCAAGGATACAGAGGTACGAGCCTATAGAACAGATCCTGTTCAAGTAAGGTCGTGCCCTACTCCCCTCACTCCCTTCTTTAAATACCAGTTTTCCCAGGAGCGGCCTTTCGATGTGGGTCTTTCGCGAACAGTCGCGCGTGTTTAAGCGCACTCTCCCGATGCGATTGTCGTATGGATGGAATATAATAAAACATTTTTAGATTAAGTAAAAGGCGAAATGCCATTTCAAACGGCATTAACTGGATTAGATCTATTTCCTGCGGTAGTTTTATAGACAACATTTAGTTTCCAATTAGATATCGGAAGAAGACAGTCTTCTTTCCTAGCGTTGTTCATTTTCCAGATATATAAAAGAAAGTAATATCGGATAGCCCGGCTCAATTCCCAAGCATTCTTGTTTCTTATTTCAAACGAAAAATGAATTGAGCTGGGCTCGCCAAACCTGGTTGGAAGGAGGCGACGGTGCTTTGAGCGGTGGGCGGAAGCTTCCACATTCGACTCCTCATGTAAGGATCGCAGGATAGGTAGAGATTCTTCACCAGCACTACCTTCGAGCCGTCAGCGGTGGGATGGAGCTTCCACATTCAACTCCATGTCCGACTGCTCTTTAGGGAAGAAGCCTTTCACGACTGAATTCTCTGAATATCACTTGCTTGTTCCTCACTCCCCATCCATCCTTTCCTTTTCTTTTCTCTCGACCCATGAGGCTAAAAGCGAGGAGGCGTTCGGTGGGTGTGTCGATTGTCCGATGTTTCTGTAAGTGCTAGTGGTAAGAAACACTTGACACAGACAAGTCTACTCCAAGTAGAACAGACAAGTTTCTGCAACAAGACACGTACCCAACAGCAATCACTAGGAAAAGCAAGAAGCTGGCAGTTTTTACATAAAACAAACGACGAACCGCAACAACTCATGCATCAGATCAAATGGAAAAGCATGCCAGATAGAAGAGACAAGTCTCTGCAACAGGACACGTACGCAACGACAGTTCCTAGGAAAAGCAAGAAGCTGGCAGTTTATACATTTCACCACCAACAAAGTGCAGCAACTCATGCGCCAGATCAAATATGGAAAAGCTTGCGCTCATGTTCCGCACGACCGTCTCAGCCGGCTGAGGAACTCTAAACCTCAAAGGCAAAAGTTGGTCGGTCGGGATACACGTCAACGTCCGTGGGATGATTTTTGTTGGACACACATTATGGGGAAGACGGCACCGGTCAGTGCGTGTCGGGCAGGTGGTTTTTGGTCCGACAGATCTTTGCGACTTTGGAGGATTCCGCAAAGCAGCTCCTTAAAATTAGGAGAGAAGGCTTTGAGTCGGGGAATGTACTCCGGCGGAAGGTCAGATCTCGTGCTGTGAAATTTAGGGAATAGCTTTCTTATCATGTTGATCTTACTAACTCAGTCACCGCTTAAAGGCGCATTCCTTAACAGGTACTTGCTCTAATGGTAGTCTCAGTTTGTACTTTGTACGTCTTAGGTACAACTCTGATGCCAACTCAATAAAAAACCTAGTCCATTCACCTTGTGATATGTGCCGCTCGCAAGCCCACCTGACAGAAAAATTTTAAATTCTCGTGGGCGTCTCTCTACTCCACGATCTCTCTCTTCGCTCTTCGCTCTTCGCGCTCTATGCTCTCTCTCCCTCCAGCTCACGTGACGACTCTGCTCTCTCTCCCTCCCCACTCACGACTGAGCTCTCGTCCGACGAACCACGCCACCGCCTCCGGATTGTCCATTGCGTCCGCCGTCGCCAAATCGCCGCTCATCTCTTCTTCTCCATCTTTCTCTCTAAAGCCTTCTTCGACGACGTTCTAGCCTCTCTCTCTCTCTCTCTTCCCCTCCCGACTCACGCAACAACGCTCTGCTCTCTACCACGCCGCCGCCTCCACGTTGAAAGGTACAGATTTTCCGATTTACTCCAAAATGTGTGTATTTTTGCATTTGAATATAAATTTGGGGGTATATTTTGAAGGGTATTTTTTTTCTTTACAGTGACGAATCTGCTCTCTCGTCTGACGAACCACGCCACCGCCGCCTCGTCCATTGCCTCCGCCATCGCCTCCATTTAATATTTCCAAATTGACGTTCATCTCTCCCTCAAGTTTTCTGCCCAGCTTGGTTTTCGTTTCTTTACTTGGAAATCAAAGAAGAGATCTCGAAAGGTACATATTTTTTAATTTACTCCAAAATGTGTGTAGTTTTCGCATTCGTTTATAAATTTTGGGACATAAATTTGCGGACAATCCAGAAATCCCAAATCAACAGTACAATTTGTGTGTACATGTTTTTTCTGTTTGAATTGGGATCGTTTTTAGTGATTTATGCTGCTGATTGAATGAATAATTGGCACGATTTGGGGTAATTTGTTCGATAAACGTATGTTTCTGCCAGCGCTATCATGGACTACATGTCCATTCTAATTATAGGTTGCAATTTCTTCTTATCTGGAATGAAAACCATTTTTTACAATAACTTGTTCTCATGGGATCTTGATTAGGAGATAGAGAAGCGGGGGAGGGAAAGTGATAAAACCGACGTTTGCTGAATGTGCTGAAATCCCGTCGTTCGCAATTTGTGTAAAGTACCTTGAGATGATTGTCGAGAGTTGATTGAGCTTGTATGTACTTTAGGTCTCATGGTTGATTCTGTTAATAAGAAAAGCCTCCTCATCAGCGTATTATGCTTTTAAAATCGGCAAAAGGATACTATAAGTGCATAACTTGTGTACGGCGCTCACTTTGGTGCCATAACTTTTTTCGGATCACTTTGGTGCCAAGTCGGAGGAAAAACAATCACTTAAGTGTCATAACTTTTTTTGGATCACTTCGGTGCTAAAATTTTTGAAAACGATCATTTAAGTGCTAAAATTTTTGAAAAACGATTACTTAAGTGCCAATCTCGGCGAGACTCCGGCGAGCCACGCCGCTTCAGAAATTAATAAAAAAAATGCCACGTCAGATTTCCGGCGAAAAATTGTGTACGGCACCGGAGTTGGCACTTAAGTGATCGTTTTTCAAAAATTTTAGCACTTAAGTGATCGTTTTCAAAATTTTAGCACTAAAGTGATCCAAAAAAGTTATGGCACTAAAGTAGCGCCGTACACAAGTTATGGCACTTGTAGTGTTCTTTTGCCTTTTAAAATCATTTCAATATTGTTTACTTAGACCGGCAAGATTCAATTCTGTATGAAACCAAGGCTGTTTTGGTCTTAGTTGTTTTGTTATTATAGTTTTGTGAGCGTAAACACGAGTATGGACATCCGTAACAATTGATAAACATCTATTTCTCATCAAGTAGGGTCATTACTGAACATAAATCTGTTGGAATTAACTTTGAACCTTGATGGTCGAGACTGTTTTGGTGTCATTTTAATTCCAATTTGGTATCAATTTGGGCGCAAATTTGCACGTGTAAATTTGTCGGATGGCTAAATTTGACGTAATTCTTCACTCATACTGTGTGAAACATATTTTTCTTTCTTTAATAGCGGACGAGATGTTATTTTGCTTGTAAAAGCACAACGTTAATTACTTCTGCTCATTTAGTTGCAACATGAAATTTCCCATCTTGATATGGAAAAAATTACGAATTTGCAGTAGGAATGGTCTTTTCAAATGAACTTGAAGCATATCATAAGTATGTGGCCTATGCAATCGGCAAAGGATTTGGAGTGAGGAGATGAAATCTGTTTAGAAATAATAAAGGGGAAATAATCCAATGGTCTTTTCTATGCAATTGTGAAGCGCATTATGTTAGCTCATCTGATCAAGAAAAGATATATGAGAGATTTGAAGTTAAATGTGGCTATCTTTCTCGTATTGAATTTAAGGTTGTCATTGGTGTCTATGAAATCATAGAGTATATTTATGAGCATAGTCATGCATTCTAGAAGATCAAAAGTATTTAATTAGATGTGGAAGAATCATATCTGATACTTGTAAGGGTGTTTTAATTGACATGATAAAAACTGGCATTGGGGGGCTACAACATATAAGTTTTTGGCAAATGAAGCAGGAGGAAACAAAAACTTGGGTTTCAACATGCATGATTATCAAAATTATTTGCAGATGAAAAGATTTAATGGTATAAATGAGAGAGCTGGTTAAAGTCTTATAAATCATTTTCAGTGTGTGTAGATGCAAAACCCAATATTATCCTACGTTGTACAGGTAAATCAAGATGGTAGATTGACAAATTCATTTTGGAGAGATAGCTTATCCAAATTTGATACGACTGTTTCGGTGATGTGATGGTGTTTGTTACCACGTATCGCACCAACAAATATAACATGATATGTGCACCTTTCGTTGGGATTAATCACCATCGAAAAGTATTATGTTCAGTTGTGCATTTTTATTGGACAAGACTGCAAAATCATTGATTTGGTTATTTGAGGCATTTTTTAAGTCTATGGGAAAGAAGGCTTCGAAAATTATGTTCACTGATCAAGACCGGTCTATTTATAATAAAGACTATACATTGATTGATGTATTCTTTAGTAATATATACATCGAAATATACATAAATTCTATAGTTTTTTCTTTCGCTCGTGTCCTGTCTTCTAGTGTTCTTGCGACTGTTATCCATGTCGATTTTTTTGTGACTATAATCCATCTTGACCTCCAATAAATGAATTCCATTTTGGATTTTTGCAGTAAGAAAAATGCAGATTGACAATAACTCATCGGAACGAATATCTATTAAAGAAGAAAAAGGGAATACAATGATCAACCATGCCGTTCTTGAAATGTTCATCCACCACCTGGGCGACCATCTTCTTGCATGTAAGAACACCGAAACCCCCCACATCATAAACATCCCCAAGTAACGTGGAGTGGCATCAGACGACCAAGAACTAAAGACCTTCGACATCGGCATCGACATCTATGAGAATCATCACCCTGCCTATCGATCACCCTCCTGATCATGAAGCTGCCACACGAGTCTCAAACCGACATCGACGACCCGAGGCGATTGCTTGCCTGACTCAATGGCCGTGGCTTGCTTCCGTTTCTTTCATCTCCCTCGGGTCAGTCCCATTTGCGAGACTTAACCCCAGTAAGGTCCACGTACTTGCCGAGTCCGACTCGGGCCCCAACTCGCCTCAGCTCTCTGGGCCGTATTCAACACGTCCTGCGCGATGATGATCGAGTTGGACTTCTTGCTTAACAGCTTAAAAGGAAAATAGAAAGAAAAGATGAGTCTGTCAGACCGCCGTGTGACCACCCCGGCCGGAGACTCCGACCGAGAACGATCCTCTACAACCCTGAGGGATCCAAGGGGACCCATCGGGGCTGTTAATCACGCTCTGGTCACACGGCCACGGTTCATCCACCAGACTTTGGTTCCTGTCTCCTTTGGTCTCAAGGACACAGAGGTACGAGCCTATAGAACAGATCCTGTTCAAGTAAGGTCGTGCCCTCTTCCCGTCACTCCCTTCTTTAAATACCAGTTTCCCCGGCAGCGGCCTTTCGATGTGGGACTTTCGCGGACGTCGCACGCGTTAAGCGTACTCTCCCAATGCGATTGTTGTATGGATGGTATATAATAAGATACTTTTTTAACGGAAAGCGAAAAAATAACGGGCATATTCCGTATTTTTTATTATTATTATTGTTTCGTCCTCTTGGGGCGATCCGTAGTATTTTAATTGGCAAAGTTCTTCACGTCCAACAATGATGTAGTATTTTACTATGTACGTCCTTCCCTCTTAACTATTTCTAGTAGGTACATCATTGGAAGAATTTTATTATAGTCTTTCAATATCACAATCATGCAGTTGATTTTACACAACTTCTCTATGTCGTATGACGACGACAATTACAAATTTATTAACTTTTATCAAGTCCTCTGTAGTTTACATGGGTAGCTCAGTTGGTTAGGGCGTACTTGATTTTACACAACTTCTCTATGTCGTATGACGACAACAATTACAAATTTATTAACTTTTATCAAGTCCTCTGTAGTTTATATGGGTAGCTCAGTTGGTTAGGGCGTACTTGGGATTGTGTGGTTAGGCGCAGTGGTCCCAAGTTCGATTCCCCAGCTGAACACTTGTGATTTAAGTGGGGGGCCATGGCGGTGGGTTGTTGTGCTAGTCTCCCCCGAGGAATAGTCGAGGTGCGCGCAAGCTGGCCCGGACACCTCGGTTACCAAAAAAAAAAAACACAAAATTCCACCTTTATTCTGTTCAAAAGCGAAAGATTCATTTGAAACAGAAAACAAGAACAGTTATGGGAGCAAGAAAATCCAATGCACCAAATTCAGAAATAAAAAAAAAAAGGAAAAAAGTGACCACATATCTCAAACTATGCCCACTATGATACACTTATACTTTTTCTGAGATACCAAAAATCTCAAACCTGTGCATGTGCGACACATTTACTCTCCGTCAAGATCCCATCAATGAACACCGTTAAAAATTTGTGTATATGTACGGCAAAAGGTAAATAATGTTGGCATAACGTCCACGTGAGTTAAGTGAAAGAAAAGATGCATTGTTTTGGCTAGAAAATCATTTGACGGAAAGGATAAATATGTCACACGAGTACAAGTTCGGGGTTTTTGATGTAACAAGAAAAAAGATTCGAAGTAAATATGTCACAATGAACAAAATTTAGGTGTTTTTGTGAAACCCTTAAAAGAAAAGAATTGAACGCCCTTCTTATTAAACACATTTTGCAGAACAAAAATCGTTTGAGACTCGTTCATGCCCATTTGGCCAAGAAGGCCATACACCCAGCGCCGAACAGGAGGAAGAAATTGCACGACAGCAGGAGCCTCCCGTTGCCCTGCACCTTGGCGCTCATGAAGTCCACCGCGAGCAGGTCGACGAGCGCCATGTAGACCAGGATGCCGGCGGACGCGGCGTCGAAGACGCCCTCGATGATCAGCGCCTTCGGGCTGTTCTCGTCGTACGTGTCGGATATCCCGATGCCGATGGCGATCCCGAGCGGCGTGGTGAGGGAGAAGAAGAGGGCCATTATTATTATGGCTCTTGACTTGAACTTGGCCTTGCAAAGTAGGGAAGACGAAAAAGCGATTAATTAATGTGTAAATAATGACAATTACAATTCATTACTGAATAATAATAATAATAATAATTCATGTGCCAGGGCCGATCAGCACCTGATCTCAAGTTAACGGAGGCCGAAGGTAATCGACATCGTCCAACAATATAAATCATTAAAAAAAGCGAATTATTTGATTGAATGGTCTCAACTTGATGTGATCGGAGGTGCTTTAGTAGGCCATAATGGTGCATGCAAAACATTCTGTTAGTCTCACAATGATTAAAGACTGTCACTTAATTATTTTTCAATCGTAAATCATTCTTTTTTACGGAAAATTTTATTTTACCTCCCTTAATTTCGGTGCATGTTTAAAATTCCAAAATTGAAAAGATGCATTTCACAAACTCCCCCTCACTCTCTCGAATTTGCATTTTGTTACACTTAGCAACACGACTAACCTTTTTCCGTTGGCATGTGCCGTTTGCATGCCTTTTTGGGGGAAAAGTACCAAAAAAATCCTATATCTATTGCACTTATGTTAATTCAGTTTTAAACATTTCAATCGTTCAAATTCAATCATAAACCTTTGTTAACTTGCTAATTTAGTCATAAACCTTTCAATTATGTTAATTTAGTCCTAAACATTTTAATAGTTTGTCAATTTACTCCTAAAACTTTTAACAATTTATCAATTTAGTCATTTTGGCCAAAAATCACTAACGTGGTGGTCTAGTTAGCACCAGTCGTCGCTGTCCTACGTGGCACGGCTTACGACGGTTGATGCTGACGTGGATAATTTTTGCAATTTTGATTGGAAATCCTTGACATGACGATCTAGTCAGCACCGGCCGTCCTACATAGTACAGCCGGCACTAAAGTGGACAATTTTTGCAATTTTTAAATAATTTTTTGAAATTTTTCTTTTTTTTTTTGTCTGCCCTTCTTCCTCTAGACGGTCATCGGACCTCAACGATGGCCAGCAACGGGCTAGAACGAGAGCCGACAAGGTTGACCTCGATGTCGCTGGGTCGACCTCGCCGACCATCACTGAGGCCCGGCGACTGGCTAGAGGAAAAAGGTAAGAAAAAATTATTAAAAAAATTAAGAAAAAAGAGAAAAGAAAAAATTATAAAAAATTAAGAAAAAAAAATTGTTTAGGACTAAATTGGCAATCATTAAAAGGTTTTGGACTAAATTAACACAATTGAAAGGTTTAGAACTTAATTGGCAAATTATCAAAAGATTTAGGGAAAATCTCAATAAGGGCACGAAGTGCGCCCTTATTTTTTCAAATAAGAATGAATAAATTGGCAAATCGTTAAAAGGTTTAAGACTAAATTGGCAAATCATTAAAACGGTTTATGACTAAATTGACACAATTAAAAGGTTTATAACTTAATTGGCAAGTTGTCAAAAGATTTTGGCTGAATTGGCGTAATTGAACGCTTTAAGACCGAATTGGCATAAATTCAATAGGCTAATGACTCTCTCTTTTTTGTACTTTTCTCCTTTACGGGAGATAAAGTGCAATATTTCCTTCTCCGATGTGGTATCAAATGAGCCCCGTTTTGCCCGTAACTCATTGAAATAACGTATAAAACCTATAAAAAAAGGTAAGATTGCCTCTATCAAATGTTATGTCGTGTTTGATTCCACAAACCTCATCAACTAATGCGGCTGCGTGCATTACCAAATTAGTCGACCGTGTACGAGTTAATTACTGCGCACTTACCCCGACATCTCGATGCCGCTCACTGAAACAAGTGGGTCTCTTGCCAGCGAATAAAGCCCGAGTTAAATTTGGCTACTCGAAATAATTAAAATCTCGAGACATTATCATGGCAATTTAGGAACTCATAAGGTCCCAATGAATGAAATGAGATGACTTTATTTACCTGAGTGATGCAACCACCGAGTCCCATGCCTTCAAAGAACTGATGGAAAGTCAAAGCAGCCATCAGCGTCTTCACCGTGCTTGTACTCCCGGAAGTCCCCAGGGAAATCCCTATGATCACCGAGTGCACCACGATCCCCAGCTCCAAGACCTGTTTATTTATAATTTCACCCCCCACAAAAACGCAAAGATTTGCATTCAGATCCTCCGTGCGAAGAGTTGAAGAGAATCCAAATTAAGAGCTAATGGAGCAGCAACTGTTATAGAGTCCCGTTGACCTTAGAACCATTTGAATGAACTTGGAAAGATTAACGTTACCTGCGATACGACTCTATGGCGAAGGAGTTCCGACGTGCCCGGTTCTTGATTCTGATAGGCCGAGCCGTGGGCGTGCCCGTGAGCAGTATGGGTGTGCGCGTGTACATGTCCGGCGTGATCTCCACCAGCGGCGTGCTCCTCGTCCCCCTCGCCCTCCGGCCGAGCCTTGCTGAAGTGTAGCCTCGTGTAGTAGGAGGTTGCGTAGGTGTCCACCATCAGCGTCATGATCGCTGAGACCATCGCCACGAACCCCGCGAAGGGAAACTTGCCCCAAGGGTTGTTGTTGAGGCACGGCGATGTCAGGCTGTCAAAGGCGTCGGGGAGGACGTGGATGAGGCCCGTCGAGAGGATCACGCCGGCCGCGAACGCCTTGACTAGGAAGAACAGGTCCTTGTCGGGGCGAAGGGCCGGGATGACCTTGGCGAGCAACGGGATGCACACACCGACCGCGCTCGCGAAGAGGATAGCCACCAGCGCGCCCACTTTGTACTTGAGAGCCTCCTCCTTGTTGCGCCCCGCGCCAGTGCTGTCGCACGTGCAATCTCCGAGGACGAGCGAGGGGAGAAGGACGAGCACGCACAGCACCAGGAACCGACGCGAACTACGACGACCGTGGCTCGGCTCGTTCGCCATCGCAATTCGATCCCCCGAAATCAAGAAAAGCAACCGTTCTTGCTTGGCAAGAGTGAAAACGAGAAGCCTAGTAAGGCTCCAGACACGTCCGCGAGCTAAATAAGGGGATCAGGCGTTGACTCAGCCTGCCATGAAAGGAATCTGAGACCAGGTGCTGGCCGGCCTAACGGAGCTTAGCATGAGGACACTCTCTTTGCCAGTTTTGACATTGACAGACTGGTTTTCAATTTTGAACTCTCTCTTCTGTTCGCATTTAAGTTGTCGCATCGATCGTTACGGGGTTCAGAATTGCATTATTATATCTATCCGCGACGGAGGCGATTCTTTTCTCTGTCGGAGGGGAGGGACAGGAGAACGTGGGAGCTCGCGACGCGAAGAGGGTTTTGAAAAATTTTCTGGGGAAGTTAACAAGCGGCGACAGTTTCCGAGTGTCGAAACAATGTCGACATTCCAGTGCCGTGGCTTAAACCTGATGAATGTCAACGGTTCGTGTGCGGACGCATCTGCACTGTGGCCGGTCAACACTTCTATCCCCCCGCCGCCAGTTTCGACTAATCTAATTAGCGAAGCAAAGTGTTTTCAGCTCGAATCTCGAGGGGGATTCGACGAGCATCGTGACGATCGGGAATTGCTTTTAAAAAAAAAAAAAGCGTGACGTCTCGTGTTCGGTTCCTGCTCGGTCCGCCGGCCACTTGCGGTCGGTCAGTGAGGGAGCGGTCTCGTTCCGCATGCGAATTGCCCCCATCTGCAATCGGAACGAGGTGGCGGGTGTAGTCCGGCGGCACAAAAAAGAGAAGAAATTTTTTTCCATTTACTTCAAGAAAAAAGAATGGTGGAGCTAAATTGGGTTCAAAGCCGGAAGAGAGGAGGAAGAGTCCCGGCCAAATCATGTTTTAGACAAATCGAACTTCTGATGCGTAATCCAAGCTGTGCAAAATGAGTAATTTAAGGAGACATGTACGGAAGGATCTGATGATGCTGTGTCTTATGTCATGGGTTCAGATGCTCATTCCAATGATGCCGCCCCTACTCCCATGCAATTTGCTTTCGGTCAGTTTATTCCACATAAAATAAATAATTTAAAATATATATTTTTTCAAAAATGATCGTTTTTACCGTTTAAAATAATTAGTCGATAAAAAATATTTTCATTATCGATAATAATTTACATCTAAATACTTTAATGGATGATGAAAATATTTTCATTATCGATAATAATTAGGTTGATCCCTCCCTCGACAAATTATGTAAATGAGCGCACGCACGCATGTGTCGTGACATCACGGGATCTCTCTTTATTCTCGATCATCATTAATCAAAGAAGTTGGAAAAGTAAAAACTTTGACAAATGATCATGAGATCATTGCATAAGATTTTGATGGTGAAAGTCTGCAAACTTGAAATGAACGGATACCGATTTTCCAAATGAACCAAACTGATTTATTTTTGGTCAATGGGACCTAAATAATGGCATGCGGGGCATTGCCTTTGCTCTATCCAAATTTTTTAAATAAAATCTTCCTTTTTCTATAATCCGACAAAACTTTTTTGAAATTTGGTGATACAGCATGTGTAGCCCTCATACCTTACAAATGGTGCATGTCGGTTTGAGAAAGAAAACTAACATTTTCGCAATTGAGCGAAACACCGGAAGATATTACCATTTCATTGTGTAAACATCTGGATGGCCAGTCATTCTATTATAAGTAAGATTAATATAACTTCTCTACATAATATCGATCTGACCTTTTTTTGTTTTTTTAATATTATTTTAGATCCCTTCTTTTCTCTGACTTTGGGCCATATAAACTATAATTTATTAGGAAAAGTACAAAAAAAAAAGTCGTAAATCTATTACATTGGTACCAATTTAGTTATAAACATTTCAATTGGACCAATTCAGTCCTAAATCTTTTCACATTGGTACCAATTCAGTTCATCCGGCTAATTTAAGCCAAAAATCGCTGACGTGGATGCTAGCCATCCAACGTGGCACAGCCAGCACTGACGTAAAATTTTTTAATATTTTTTTTGAATTTTTTAATATATATATATATTTTTTTTTTCCTTCCTTCTCCTTGCTTGGGCTGTGGCCAGTACCTAGCCATGGCCGGCAACCGGCCACAAGCGAGGGAGTCGTGGCCCTCGTCAGCTATAGGGGAGGGTCGCCCTCGACAGCGAGGGTGAAGGCTAGACCCTCGCGGTCTGGGCAAGGGCGGCCATTACCAAATATGGCGAGGGTTAGAACCTCGCGGCTTGGGTGAGGATCGCCCTCGCTAGGCCGCAAGGGTCCAACCCTTGCCCTCGTCGGCGAGGGCGACCCTCCCCTTTGGCCGACAAGGGCCGCGACACCGTCGTTGGCCCTCGCCTGTGGCCAGTCACCAGTCATGGCGACCGGCCACGTAGAAGGAAGGGAAAAAAGAAAAAATATTCAAAAATAAGGCGAGGGCCGTGACACCCTTGTTGGCCCTGGCCTGTGGCCAGTCACCGGTCAAGAGGACCGGCCACGTAGAAGGAAGGGAAAAAAAAGAAAAAATATTCAAAAATTCAAAAAATTATTTTAAATTGTCCACCTGAGCATCGGCCGTGCCATGTAGGACGGCCAACGTCCACGCAAGCGATTTCTGACCTAAATTGACCGGATGGACTGAATTGATAACCAATGCCAAAAGGTTTAGTACTAAATTAGTCCAATTGAAAGATTTAGGACTGAATTTGTACCAATACAATAAGTTTAGGACTTTTTGGTGCTTTTCCCATAATCTATGCATAGGATAGTGACTGAAATAGAAGGATTAAAAGATTTTGGGTTAAAATCCGGAAACCCATTAACTATATTAGCTCTTTTCGTGGGAAATACAAATTTAACCAAAGAAACTCCGAAGTTCAACGAGGACACCTGACCCCCGAGTCAGCGACACGTGATGCCCCTACCGCCTAAGGGCGAGGTTGGATCGTGCGCTTTCCGATCACATTACGGATAAGATTTAATCCGGTGTGCGAAAGTTGACATTCGAATTACAATTAATGAAATCGCAATAAGTATTTCGATTTTTCGGGCGGCGAAAAGTATATCTTATGTCTAAAGCTTGACAACGTATGAAAATATCATGGCCTCATGGGGAAGATATGTGCTAAGAGTGTTGCAATGGGGTCAGTTCAAATTAGTCGCAAAAATTTGGTCAACTTGGGGTGCCCATCGGCCTCGATCGATGGGACATATGCGTTGACAATTAGGCCTGAAGTTAGGCAAAAGCAAGAATATGGGCAGGATCAGTGTAAAGCTTGCTTCTCGTGTCACACTGACCAAAAAAACAAGGAAGATATTTCCCGTTTAATTTTATTTTTTTTTATGAATTTGTTAAAATGTATTCGAAATGATCATCACGTCGATCGCGCCTACGTGCGATAACGTAATCCATAGATCACAATTAGTTTGTGATTGCCGAAGTTTCATATGCGCTTGTGGTTAGTAATTTCTTTCTACGGATCGTAATTTGATTGTAGAGTCCATGACGTGGAAAATGTTAACGCTCAATAATTGAGCAATCGCATAGGTAATATACTTCAAATTATCGCAGGTGATCCTCAGCAGCTGTGATATTCCGAGAAGTCCTTGCGAATAATGGATCGGTAAGCATTCTTTATACGTACAATTTGGGAAAATTATCAAAAAAGAAATCATAAACCTATTATCCAGATCCCAATTCAGTCCTAATTTACCTCAAAGGTTCGTAAGTTTGGATATTCTAACATTCGTATCTCTATAAAAGAAAAATCGTAAACAACCTGAACCTATCCTAACTATTTCTCCCCAATCTTAGTAGCTTGCCTCAATAATTGCAACATCACCCAACAGTTCGTAAATTTAAGAACCTACTAGTGAGTAATTATCATCACATATTGCAACTTTCATTGATCAACAGTAACATCGACAACTTTATAATCGGTAATTTCCTGAAATGTTTGTACATTTTCGGGGGTCGAAGTTTATTCTCTCTTAATCTAAAAGAGCACGTATCAAACGGGCCCGATCTCGTATTCTTCTACACAGGACTATGATATTTCCCATCGAAAAGTCTTCCGTAAGTTCCACGTCCGATGTTGTCTCCATGTTCAGCCTATGATCATAGTCAAGCTAATGCGTTTGAATAAAATTCACACTTATTTCGCATTTAAAATTTTCGCGACTTGAATCCAGAAAGACCGCCACATTACAACAGAAAAATATCCTACGGAAGATATCGAAATGGTGATATTTTCAATGGAATATCGACAAACTTCTCCTAAGTTTGAAATTTAGAACCGGTAGGTTGTCAATAGCCATCTTGATGTTGCAGCACTATCTCTTGTCAAGATCCCAATCTATCGAGGATTCGATGATCTGGTAGGACCGAACACGGGAATCGGGACAAAAAAAACCAGCTCAATCCTCGAAATTCAAGAATTGATTTGAACAAAATTGAAGTCCCGTGATCAAAAGCCAGTCCGATTCGCGAAATTCGAGGATCAAATTGAACAAAAATTGAAGTCCCGAGGCCAAATTGAACATCGGCCAAGGAGTTCGCGATCCAATCATAGAATCGTCCCACAAATCTCAACTCCTGTTTCTATAACGGGGAATATGTACGGACAGATCCACGCACCATTATTATAGATGCAACATGGGCGGACACCAACCCGTGAGAGACAAGACAACAACGTCGGCGCATCTTAATACCGACAACAGGGTTTACCAACGATCATAAATGCCAATTAATAACAGACAATCATCTTCTATATAATTAGTATCTAAAAAATAAAAATCTTTTCTACACCACTTTGCTCTGAAGCCTCGCCCACGTTACGGCTACATTCGTTCTGATGTTTCTAGAAAGTCATTTTTCAAGAAAATGACTTTTTCGGTATTTGGCTGAAATACGAAAATAAACTAGAAAATGCTTTACGACATTTTGTATGGAAAATCTTATTTGATTTTCATCTGTGATGTCCTTTTAATGATTTTTCTTTTTATTTATTTCTTTTTTTCTTTTAAAATAATCGAATTTTAAATTCTTTTTTTTCATTTTCTTTTCTTTTCTTTTTCTTTTTGCTTTTTCTTTGGCCGGTCGCCGGCCATGGACGAGCTCGAGCCTCGCCATGGACGAGACTCGAGCCTCGCCCGAGCCGAGCCGAGCCGAGGCCGAGCCGTAGCCGAGCCGATTCCGCCAAGCCGAGCCGAGCCTCATCGCCGAGCTAGAGGCCTCGCCCGCCCACCTCTAGCGAGGCTTCAAGCTCAAGCTCAAGCTCAAGCTCCCCGGCCTTAGGCGAGCTCGACCTTGCCAAATCGGTGAGCCCGCCCCTCACCTATGGCCGATCACTAACTATCGCAATGGTCGGCCACTGACTAGTGCCGTGGCCAACCATCGACCGAGGAAAAAGGAAAAGGAATAATAAAGAATAATAATAATAATAATAATAATAATAATATCGATTTTTTTAAAATATTTTTATAAGAACAAATGTTTCATCAACTAAGGACCCTAACCCGAGCGCCAAAGACCCACAATTTGCCTTCATGCATCCGAGCTCGAGTGTCGGGGACTAAAGCTCGAGCACTAGGGACCCAAGCACAACATTTATGGTCCCGAGCCCAAGTGCCAGGACATGCATGGTCACCAGGGCTTCGAGCCCAGCCTCAATGGACCCGGGAGTTGGCACCGAGGTACCGAGGTCCCAGGCTTGGACTAAATGGACCCGGGCCTAGGCGCCAGAGACTTGATCCCGAATGAAGAGGACCGGGAACCAACTTTGGGATTTTCATGCCCGAATGTAGAGTTTCGGATCCAAGCACCGACACATGTTCATATTTTACAAAATGTTTTCCAATTTTTCAAAGATTCCTTAATTAAGCGTAGATTTTCCGTTGACTAGAAAAACATTTTCCGTTGACTCATTTTCTTAAGCCAACCAAACACCAGAAAATGAGGATACGCGAAACAAATGAAGCCTACAGGACCATTATATCTTCCCTAAGAGTTGCATAAGCAATGGAGAGGGAAAGCCTAACCTAAAGGCAAAGGAGTCTTTGGAAATTGAGGAAGAAAAGATAGGAATTCATATGCTCACAATATGCTATTCAAGATGGTAAAAGAATAATAAATATGTAAAAGCTTCAATTCATAAAACTAAACAAAAAGAACAGTGTACACCAAAAACATCTAACTGTATATGACCTTGCACTTGCTATATAGCACTCCATGGAAAATATTAGCACACAAAAGCTTAATACGAAAAATACCCAGCACTCGCAGTCAAAATGCTTAGCTCTTTTTCTGCACTTCCTGCGCTTTCTCTTCATAATATTCGTTGTTATCATAATACTCTTCCTGTCCATAGTCATCAAAGTACTCGTCGTCTTCGTCGGTGTCGTCGTCTTCGTCCTTCCCATTCTGCAACAGGTCTGCAGCCAATAGCTGACTCCTTAAGCTCTCTTGGATCCGATCCTTGATGGCTGTGCCCTAGCGAAATACAGAAGTTGCGAGTGAAAACTAATGCACATTAAATCATTAAAGCTACGAAAGTTGAGATTACTTACCATCTTATGGCAACCTTCTTCAAACATTTCGAGAAATCCAGCAACCCAGCGATCAGCATTTTCAACCCACTCATTCCTATGCATGCCAGCAGTTTTTGCCACGGTTTGAATCTAACATATGAAGAACGCACAAAAACATCATACACGTGTGGGGAAACAAAATGTAAGTAATCGCCGATGTTGGGCATTTTCCTTTTCAGAAAAAAAAAATTGTTATTCGCCCATGGGGAAATTCAAGAAAGACTGTTTCACTCTGAGTTCACATATAAGTAAGACAAATAAACTGATTGGAAAATGAAATTCAAAATAAACAGTGAAATACGTCAGAAACTAAGGGCAAAAGAATGAAACAAACTAGAGCTTGATCTCCTACTTACCCTCTCTTGATGTTCCCTCACTTTTTCATGTAGCTTCTTTAGTCTCATATTCACCCGCAGTCGCTTTTCCTGCTCACATCATTGCACGAAAATCTAAAGTCGCTGAATGACGGAGAGATTATTCATTGCTATGTGAAATGTCAAAAACACAGAAATGCCTAACCACAGATAATAATTTGGAGCTACATCATGACATCGGAAAGACCATATTCATATGAAAGAAAAGGGTCATGCCTTCACAAAGCTAACACCAAGATCTTTTCTTGAATAACCCCTGTCCAAGTTCCGAATCACATATTGGTTGTAGTCTTTGACGATCCTCATTATGATGTCTGATGTAGAAATCCCTTCAGTGCGCTTGGTTTCTTTGAATTTCCCAATAGCTTTGACCTGTAAAACTCTTGCTAAGAAAATCGGAGAAAAAAAATACAGCAAACACAAGAAGCAGAAGATCTCTTACGTACAAATTCATATACGTCGTTTCCAGCTCCACTGGTGTCAGCATAACTATGCAATTTTCATGAAAAAGTATATAAGGGCAACATGTCTTACAATAAGTTTAGCTGACTAAGTTATTATCATATTGAAGAAAGATTAAAAATGACCTTTCAATCTTAGAAGCAAACATATCTACCATTTCTGGTTGCATGGCTAGTTGGGTGGGGCCTGGACAAGTCCCTGATTTAAATAAATGGATATGTGTATGAAATTTTAGGCCCAAGACCGGGCAGGGCGGCGCGCAGTCTTTCGGGTGTTGTCTAAAAACGTAGCACAAGCTCATCCAGACTCGACCATCTATTGAGTATACTGACTAGATATAGATGAATGAGGATTTGCAGGCATGTGGGCATGACTGATTGCCAACCCGAACCAGAGAAGGGATTTTAGCGAATTAACATAACGTGATTGTGCCAGCCAGGACACCAAGTAATCCGCAATTAGCATGTCATCCATTTGATCCAAATGTCATAAGAGATATCCTTCACATATTTGTGAATTGGATCAGATGATAGAGTTCACCCTCCATGGAATAGCTAGCCAAAATTATGGTCATTTTTTCATAAAGTCAGCTCTTATTTCTTCATATTTGTCAAGTCAACTTAAAACCTTTCAACTTTCTAGAGTTTCAGGCAATTTTAATACCATAGGTGCATGGGAACTAAAAAAGATTTGCGGTACCCTTTATAAAACAGACAACACAACATGAAATGCATCTATAGGCACTGCCTACGGGTGAGACCTTAAGGAATGTATGTATTAGGATGACTTATTATACTCGTTTACCGCAGTCATGAGAAAACACTAAATTATCTTTTCTTTTCAGGTGAAAGGCCTAGAGCAATTTGTTTACATCTCCTTTGGCACTTGAATCAAGTCAAATGTCAGCAATATTTCCTAATTCATACTAACGCCCATGGAGACACTACAAGTGGTAGGCAAACTACATCCTACTATCTAAAACTTTTTCTGCTACCTGACATGGGAGAGATTTCAACAGCACAGAACTTACTGTGTGACAACAACAAAAAGTACCGTCCTCTACACATCCTCAATAGCTCAAGAACATTGTTTAGGGATTTAATAACTGCATCTAACTTAGTATTTGTATTCACTACCTGATAAGGAGAGTACTATATGGAGTTTCCTTCAAGAAATCGCATCTATATTTTCTGGGATTCGAATCAGTTTTCCCACAAACAAATGTGGATAATGACTAACCATCCGGAAGTTATAGAGTCAGCTGGAATGTTATGCCTGGATAACACACAAGGAAGATGGATCTCTTGTACTTCAGCACGTAATTCGAGGATACTGTTTTTCACTGCTTCACGGTGAGGCACAAACTATTTGGTAAGCAATGAAAATTCAGGGATAGTGTCATACTAATTGTTCCTGGACGACAAGTAATTAGCTTCTTACAGGATCATAAGATAGCAGAAGGCAAACAGCATTCCCATTATTTACTCTTACTTAGCTATTTATCGATTCTTATCCAACAACATTGCAAGTAGGTTACTGCCGTCCAGGTTAGAACACAGGACACTTCTTTCCCTCATGTTTATATCACTCATTCTCTTTTACAATAAGAGCCCTCACAATTCCACCAGAAACATAGCCTTTTCATCTCTGACATCATCATCCAGTATACTTCATTCATCACAAAATCAAGTATTTGGTTTAGTAGTCTTACGGAAGAGCATCATGGGCTACGAAATCGATGTTGTGCTTGTCAAGAAATTCTTTCGTCACCACCCAAGGAGCGTCAGGAATAACTTCATCTACCCATCTGACAAAGTAAATAGATCGACAAGTAAATAGTTTGCGTTTCCCGTTCTATAAGGAATATTTAGAACGAGCGAAGGTATCAGAAAGTCATGGATGATGAGAATGAAGCTCATCGTCACGATCGTACAAATATAAATGAATAGCTGCGCGGTGCCTTCTGTTAGATTTCTTTCGAATCAGAACTGTGATGCAGACTGCTCAGAACCTTCTTTATTATAACCCCATCTTTGGCTTCATCATCTAATAGAACAGAGCGCCAAATAACAAGCGATCGACAGAAGAGCGAGCTTTAGGACAAAGGGATCAAGCAACATACTTGCAATGACGAAGCGATTCGTAGCGCTCCTCTTCTGTCATCACGGTCTTGCCTTTGAACTTGTGGGTGATCTCATCGTTGCAACATCCGACGAGCAAATAAGTATTTGGGAACCTACGGCCAAACAGAAAAACAATCAGCACTGGGATAACCCATTTCCCGCATCGAATACCAGATCAAGCAAAAGGCACAGGACATAGCCGGAGCAGCTACTTCGACGACAGTCCCACACAACGCGCAACACCCAGCAAAACTCAACCCCGAAAGCCAATCAAACCTCACAAGCATCGACCGCACGAAATCAACATCGCTAAGGAAATGGAGGAAGAGGCGGCCGCGAATCAAACCGCAACACCACGCCATACGGCAAGAAACGAAGACCCATCAAACAAAATCGAGGATTTGAAGCAAGAAAACGGAGACCCATCAAACAAAATCGAGGATTTGAAGCGAAAAAACGAAGACCCATCAAACAAAATCGAGGCTTTAAGGCAAAAACGCGATTAAAAAGGGAAACGGGGAAGCGGGGACGAACGATTTCTTGGCTTGCTCGAGGGCGCGGGCGTGGCCGAAGTGGAAGAGATCGTAGATGCCGTCGGCGTAGACGCGGACGGGCTTGCTCGCAGGCATGGGATCGGTGGGATCGTTCTCTGCTTGCGCCTGGTTCGCCATCGCCGCGACGATCGAAGATCGCTTCAAATAACCATCAAGACCTCAGAATCCCGAGGCTTGGAGCGTTGAACGGGTCTTCTTCTCTTCCCTTTTCCTTCGGCTTTGAATTTTCTCCTCTGTTTTTTTTTCTTCCTTTTTATTTTTTGGGCTTTTTTTTTCCTTTCGTTTTTTCTCTACTAAATTGGGGTCGACATGTGGATGGCCGATACTTGTGCTTCCCGTTTCCCCACATCGCGCACGCGCGCGCGCACGAGCGCGAGGCGCCATTCGCTTGCCTCGTGTGACCGACATCGCCGCGAATTGGCTGAGCGATTAGGCTCTCCATACCCAGTAGAGATTGGTCGGTCATCGACTGTTGTATCGATGGGAATCAAACGATTGTCTGTAGATTACCTTGATGTTAAACAAGATATCGCCGGGCAGAATAATGGGCTCTCGACGCATTTCAAATTGGCCGCGTACATTTTACACACGGGAAAAATTATCAAAGGATGGTCGTAAACCTCGGCAGATTTTGGACGACAATCGCCGATATGGACACCGACCGTGTCACGTCGTGACATTACCGACGCTGACGTGGACGATTTTTTACTTTCTTCATCCTCCGCCAATCGCCGAGCATCGGTGATGACAGGCGATAGGCCACAGGCTAAGGGCTCATCTCAAACGTTATGATCTGATGTTTTGCAGGTATGTATATTGGCTATCTGATGCTTTCCACCCTCGTATGGTCATGATGAGGCACAGCGAGTAGCAAATTCATCAAAGAGCAGAAAAAACAGACCGAGAAGAATTCAAAACCTAAAGGGATGCAAATGCAAGATGCAACTCAAGCTTACAGCAGGACATTGGTTGGGATGATACAGGGAAAATTAAAATCAAATTTAGACGTCAAAGTATCTAAACGGGTACCTTATTTTCGGTTAAACTAAACTAATACACTGTTTGTGTAATCCAAGGTATATCCAGAAACATAGCTGAAGACCACATCCATCATTGCCTGAACTCATCCAGTGAAAAAAACTCGAATTTTTGCCAAACTTTCAGAACAGCTAATGCGTCAAGCGAGCAAAGGGGTGAAAATAGTCGAACCCTACCAAAACCCAAGAAAACATACTGCCTAGAGATGCAAAGACTTCTCAGTAACTAGCTCACAACTGATCCGGCACCGGCCAAACTTCTTTAGCACGCTAAGGGAAAATTAGTTGAAGCCTGCAAAATCCAAGAAAGTTTACTGGAGCTGTCGGAGACTTCATAGCAAGTACTTCTCCACAACTGTCCGGCCAAGCTTTTCTTGAACGTCTTTTGGAGTTTCAATCTGTTGTGACATTAAATCGTTATGCATATCATCATGTTGAGAAGATTAAGGAAAAATACCATCCGGTAAAAGAGGCAGGGTATACTTACCGCATTCAAAGCTTTGAAAAGAGCTTTAACGGTATTATGAGGATTCCTTGAGCCGATGACCTATAGAGAGTTTATGTTTACAACAGAGCTTACAACTGAATAAGCACTTCAACTGTCATTTGTAACACGATCTGTTACCTTAGATTTCACGTTCTTGAAACCGGCTAAATTCAAAATTGTTTGAACAGTTCTTCCAGCTTTCATACCAGTCCTGGTTGAAGCTGGCCAGAGATATACCTAACCAAGCAACCATCTTCAGATAGATTTAAAAAAAAAAACCAAGGGAAGCGCAGGATCTTTGACCATTTAAGTACAGTACTTAAAACCCAGTACAATGTAAGAGTAAATTTAAAACCTTGGTTTTTTTGTAATTGGTCTGTACAGCATGTGCAATTGTATGCTCTTCATGTCTTTCCACATAATGAAGATTCTGGAAGCATTTTTCGTATGCCTGATTGATCCAAACAAAATCATAAGATAAATGAAAAGGACTTCTTATCCATCCCAAATTTTCAAGATAATTAAACATCTGACACAATTAAACTAAAGCAGCATTTCTCTTCAACACAGTAGTTTTAGAGCCTTCACGTGAACCTACGTTCAAGCAAGCATACATAGAGTAACCAGGAAATGCCCCTACCACCAAAAACAAAGTCACACCATGTATTTCTAGATTATGCAGGACATTTCTATCCAGTGTCTGTTCAATCAGCAAATACTTTGTTGATGAATTCAACCCTTGAAATTCAAATTCCTCTTAGCAAAATAAGGAGTAACCTTTTGAATTCCACAATCATTAAGAACGACAATGTTCAAAAAACAATCCTAAGCTAACTAGATAAAACATGCAAGAGTTCGAACTGCAATCAACCAATAGTGTACCTTTTGGAGAGCAATAGGAACGGCAGGGCCCTTCGCTTTTGCAAAACCAACAACACCATGGTAGTTTCCACATGCCAACATAGCAGTGTACTTGATCACTTGCCCACCCTGAGAATAGGGCCACAAATTTCATTCAAGCCACTCCATATCAATAAAGGAATCGAAGCACTTACTTAGCTCTAAAGCAGATGATACCTTTGTAACTTTACAAGTCCGATTCACATCTATCAATTTCACATCAAACCCCTGCCATCAATAACAGAACTTCATCATTATTTATTATTGAGTCAAATGATTTCAAAGGGTAAAAAGCCTTTGAGCCAGAATAATGGCATGTACTCAAACTATTAATGTCTGAGGCAAAAGAATTCTACACACTAAAGAGATTAAGTTCCATGAGGTTGCCTTTTTCGTCTTACCTTTCTGTAGATTGTACAGGCAATGAAGTCATATAATAAGATGCAAATATATTTAGGACTCAAGAATCTTTGAAAGTTGTTCCAATAGCAGAGGCTACAGTAGTTGTCAACTTGTCACCACATTGTAGAAAAAAAACCAATGCCCTATGGCAGCCAATAGTAGTCTGCTATTTGCAAGAGTACATTAAGACAAAACGGCACAGACCAGAGATCCTAGTTCGTCTAAGAAGACAACTGTTATGCATGAATTAAAGCAGAAAATGCCACCATTACTTACTTTCCTGTAAAGAGGCCTTCTCTTCTTTTCAGTTAAAGCATTTCTTTCCTCCGCGAGGTCCCTGATCTCCTCCTCTAGCCCCTTTCCTTTCTTTCCAAATGTATGATCCAACTGTGCCAGCTTCTCTTCAAGCATCTTATCAATTTCATTAATTTTCTCTATCAACATGTCATCCTTCTCTTTCATGTCATCAAATTCCTCATCCTCGTCATCATCAACCCCTTGTATAACTTGCCTCTCTCTCTCAAAGCCAGCCCGATCTAAAAGATCAGCTGAGGGACCCACTTGTCCATGTTGAATGACTCCGTAATTGGCAGGATTATTAGGATCATAAGCCTCCTTCCAATCTACCAATCTCATAGCCCTATTTAGTTTCTGCTGAAGAATAAACTTTTCCTTCCCTTCTGCTACTTTCAAACGGTTCATCAATTCACCAATGACTCGATACTCTGGACGAAGCCTGAAATGTTTATCCTCAAACCTATCGATTCTGTTCATCCATTTATATGCATCATCAAGTGTATCTGTTACAAAGCACACAGAAACAAAGATTGATACAGCAGTACGATAGAAATCGCATTCGTCGCAGGAACTTCTAATTGCTCGAGCCCAAACATAAAAGCTTGAAAACTTCAGCAATCCAAACTGCAGTGGACATTAAACTAACAAGTATAACCGTTTAGCAAATCTAAATCAATCCCACTGGTCCCACTAAGACAAATTCAACAGAAATAAATTCTTGCATCGGAATGGTAAGACTGTTTTGTACCAACTCAGTATGACGATAAAAACTCTACATACCTTCAACTAGCGCCAAAAATCACCAGGGAATTGAAACCATGTAAGAGATAGAGGAATAAAATAAAGCAAAATGCAAGTACCAGACTCAACAAAATTCTTGAGCAACTCCTCGTGGCGCTTGCACTTCTTCTCAAATTGCTCGAACCTCTTCTTGAGATTGTTTGGACTGAATCGCTCGTCGTCGTCGTCGGATTCTGAGTCAGTGGGCTCCTCAAAAAAATCGAGATCAGCAGAGGCATCGCCCTTCAGCTTCTCCTTCTCGAGCTTTTGGATAAGCGGGCCTACGCCCATGTAGTCTTCTTCATCTTCTGCATCAATGTCTTTGGTATCAAGGCCAGCCCTCCTCCTAGCCTCTCTCTCTCTCTGCTTCTCCTTCTCCACCTCCGCCAATAGTTCGTGAACAGCTCTCGATGCCGCCTCTTGGGAAGTGAAGAAATGGCATTTGGGAAGATGACAGAAAGGGAGTTTTCTGCTAGAGGAATAGCAAGTATCGGAGTACAGGAAGGGTTTAGTGTGTACTGATCTCTTGGCAAGGCCCGGCTTGAAGATAAGACTGGACCAAGAGATTGCTACTTGCTGGGATAACCTACGGGCGCTCATATTCTCCCTCTCCTCTTCTTTTCAGCTGCTGACTAAGACGATAGAGAAAGCTATCAAAGCTTCATGCCAGCAGAACTGCAGTTATAGACACAAGTTCCAGATTTATGGTCAGTAACTTGTCAGAAATGAAGCTTCGCTGCAGTAAACTGTTTAACTATGACTGTTGAATAGTTTGGAGTACAAGCCGGTAGCATCAGAAGCAAAGAGCAGGATGCGATGGAAATAACGATGCAGAAGCACCAGTTTCATATGAATCATACAGAGAAAATATAAATGACCCCCTTCTTTTTGGTATGAAAGATAAATTCATTAAAGAGGCACCAAGGAGGTGCCAATACACTTGGATCGCAGAGGGAGAATAATGTAGAAAGAGATGTATATTACTGAACGATGTAGAATCCGCCAACTACCAGTAGGAACGTATGTCCCCTCACTCAAAATTTATCTTTTCCTTCCTTTGTTCTTCCCCTAGTACCTCTCTCTCTCTCTCTCTCTCTCTCTGTGCAACTACTGTTTTGTCATTACAGTCTCATTGAGCTCAAGTTACTTGGTTCACATCACCACACCTTCAACTCATCCTTAATCAACAATCTAAATCATAATACTCAAACAACAAGTAAGTCAATAAGAATCCATCATACCTATGACCTGCATCTATCAATTCTCTCTTTCTTTCTCCATGTATGCCATTACGACATTCGCTTGCCCAAACAAACTCAACGAAAATACATTCACCAGCTCAGCCGGTAAAACTAAATACCCATCTTCCTCTCACCATTACACAAAAAAACCCAACAGCAAGAATCAGAAACTTCTCTTCTTACGCCAACAATAACAACGAAAGAAGCGGGAATCTGTAGCCCCCCGTCTCCGTCGTCAAGGGGCAATGGCGGTGTGAAACGTTTCACGAACCGCGCATCGCCGAACTGAATCGAATGACAACACCCGGGATCGTTCGCCTATAAACTGCGAAGAATCTACCGAATCCATGGAGATAGAGAGGGAGAGAGAACGAACCCGGTTCGGTGAAGGTGAGGCTCGACGGCGACGACCCTCGAGAGAGTCGGGCGCAACGAGTCGTCGGCGGGGGAGAAGGAGTGTAAACTGCCGGCGCTCCTGCGACGGCGAAGAGGAGGTTGTTGCTTGGACGGCGACGGGGGAAATGGCTGCCGTGCGCTCGTTCCAAAGGCTGACGTTGGAGGGAGGCGAGAGAGGCAAAGACGGGAGAGAGGCGAGTCTCACTGTCTCAGTCGCTCGGAGAAATTAACAGAAAAATAAAAAGAAAAATCAAAGAGGATTAGGGTTAAGAATAATTTCATTTACTTACAAGTGAGCAACCGAGCAGGTTCAACCGAGGACCGGTTTTTTTAATCGGTTTTTTGCTTCTTTCTTTTTTCTTCTTACGTTGTCTAACACAAAAATAAAGATACGTTGGAGATTGGCTTTTCAGACCTAAAAAAAATCCATCTTATATCACAAATTCTTCACATGGTATGTTTTCCTATTATTATTATTATTATTATTATTTAAAGTTTGTTATCTTGAAAGGTAGGCCTGATTCGTTAGCCAGCTTTTGAAACCGGTCGGCTCGATTCATCTAAAAATCGCGAACCATCCACCCTAAAATTGATCGCCCATGTATTCATGTAATAGGCTTTTTCTATGAATATGATCCTAAAATGTTCTTTTTTTTCCATAGAAAAACATACTTTGATACAACATATCTAAAATACAAACTAGGTGTTTGGGCTACATTCAGCCCTTCTAACCAGAATACCATACGTCAAAGGTCAGAATTAAAGACCCGGTGTACAAAATCAAGAATAGATCTGAATACATCATCAGCATCAGCTTCTTGCTTCCTCCCAAAACGAGCAAGTTCCGTCTGCGCACACATCAGCTTCTCCAAGAACATGCCGCGGGCTGCACTGCTCGAACCTCTCAGCTAATGCCCCCCGTGTTCGCAGCAGAACATTTCACATCAGAGGAGAAGAATGATAGGCCAAACTCCGAAAGTTTACCGACATTGACGAATCGACTTCCACTTCTATGTCACCGATATGGCGATTCCAGCATTCCCCTCGCCTCAAGCTCACTCTCAGCTGCAACTCCTTTATGCAGAGGCAACCCACAAATGAGCAGACGGTTCCAGCTCTTGTGGAAGTTACAGAAGTCCAAGAAACCAAACATGGAATGGTCGGGGAAGTCCCATGGTCTGGTCTCAAACCTTTAGAGCAGGCCATCAAAAACTTATTTCAGCCTCGGCAAACACAGAGACCACCCACGAGAGAATATTAAGTTAGGGTTAATATCACGGAAAACCCCAAACTGGTATATCTGTAACAAATTTACCCCAAATTAATTTCTTGACTTTTAAAAACCCCAAACTGGCATACATGTGACTATTTTACCCTCCGTTAGTTTTCGTTAAATTTTACCGTCAAATTTCTGATGTGGATGACACCTGGTAGTTGGCGAGTGTACTAATTTGAGGTTTTACCCTTCGTTTGTCATAAGTGTACTAATTTTTTATTTTTCGTGGTATTAATTCAATTTAACTAAGGACAAATTTGTCACAAACATACCAGTTTTGGATTTTTGGTGGTCAAAAAATTAATTTAGGATAAATTTATCACATGTGTACTAGTTGGGAGGTTTTTTTGGTTAAAAAAATTAATTTGGAATAAAATTATTATAGGTATACCAGTTTATAGTTTTTCATGGTATTAACCTACAGATTTAACGTGCACATCATTTCCCATTAGGCTATCTTGACACTTTGCCCCACCCCAATGCAAACCGAAAATCCAAAGCTAGCTATACATCAAAGTCCTAACTCATCCTTTTTAATTTCTGAGATCGAAAATAGAATCGTACACGTTTGGAAATTTTCGTGGTATTAAATTTTTTTTTTATATTTTTTGATATTCAATCTTTTGATAGTGGTAGGCGCACCGACCCACCATTGAAGGAAAAACGCGATTGTAGCATCAAATTTAAACCAGACAGATAAGGTAATCTAATAATGAAAAGTTCGTCAAAAAAACAGCAAATGTTTCCACCGAAATATGGCGAACGTTGCCCTCTTTATCTTGGTTTCTTTTATGGCCAGTGTTGGCACTGAGCTGGTCACTCACTTCTTGAAAAACGAAGCTTGCCATCGATGGCTACCATCCCTCTCTCGCAGCAGTCGCTCTCCGTTGCCGTCTTCGACGACGGCTTCAAAAGGAGCGATTTTGGGCTCATGGGTGCCTCCAGATCGCATCGCTCTCGCTCTTACGCTGCTAGGCCAAGAGGGCCTCGTGTCCGGTATTTTTTGAATACTGCTTATGCCAAACCAACAGATAACTTCCGTTTCTTCTCGTTTGTTTTCTCGTCTGGTTATGCGCTTGTTTTGGCTGTGGAGAAGCTCTTCCGTGGCCTGCGGTGATGGGTGATTCATCGTGAAGATTTTCAGCTCAGTGGAGGTTGCGAAGTTCAATGTTTGAAGTTCTGGGCGAATGCAAGAACCGTCGATTAGTTTCTGAATGTTATTTAGCCTTTTGAGTCTTGGCATAATGATACTGAATGTTGAAATTTTCATGCTGAAGTGAAACCTTCAAGAAAACAAATCGTATAGTTTCTAAAAGTGGTGAAGCTTTAGGTGATGGAGACCCAATTCCTCCCTGCCTTCTTGCAAGAAAACTGAAAGAGAGAGAAAACTGGGTTTTTATAAGTTTGGCTATGGGCTAATGTACGGTCTAGGGAGTGTTCTGTTTGAGAGAGTTTGAATTCAGCGAATGGATAACTGCGTTGAGAGATACAATAAGAATGCTTGGGTTTTTTTGGACTTAGGTTAATACTAATTTGATTTATATCTTAAGAAAGCACCCCCACAGATTTCCTTTGAGGCAGAATCTTGGAGTGAAAATGGTGAAATGGAAACTGTAGCGTAGTCCTATTGGTCTCTAATAGAAATGTCTGTAATTCTTTCTGGTCATTTTACATTTAGAGTATGGAGTCTTCTTTTGGTTTAAACGAACTTATTGGAGTAGGAAAGCTGCACTTTTTCTCATGCTGAAGCTAATTTTAAATTACCAAATCACCAGAAATGGTTCCAGTTTTTTGTGCTTCTGCTAGCATTGCATGATTGATTGTAGCTTCACTTTGAATGTTTATTATCAAAACTTTTAATGACAGATGTCAGTCAACAAGTACAGATGAACCTAGAACAAAAAGGAATCTTCTCGACAATGCCAGCAATCTTCTTACTAATTTGTTGAGTGGGGGAAGTCCGGGATCGATGCCAATAGCTGAAGGTGCAGTGACAGATTTGTTTGGCAAGCCTTTCTTCTTCTCACTGTATGATTGGTTCTTAGAGGTATGTATGCAAATCGTTGAAGTTCTTTGTCGATTTTCTTATTTTCTGCTTGTCAATAAGGCTGATGGTTGACATCCAATTAACTTATGGCGGTCTGACAAGGATGTTGAAACAAACTACCAGGCTTCTTGGGAGTTCACTATTACGTGTTGCTGCTTGCCAGTCTTTATAAATGTGTAGACGGTTCATAGTTCAATTGAACTACCTTCTCGGTTGTTATATCCCTGCAATTTTTTATAATGCCAATCATGTCAAAAAGAAAATTACAATAGTTACTTTATCTTCTATCTTGCACTGGTTGTGAAGGCACTTAGTCTCACTTTATTCACTGTGCAGCACGGAGCTGTTTATAAACTTGCTTTTGGACCAAAAGCATTTGTAGTTGTATCCGATCCCATAGTTGCAAGGCACATCCTTAGAGAGAATGCGTTTTCGTACGATAAGGTAATGAAGTTGGATGCTCCCATGACCTGTCAAGGTTCATCTTGTACCATTTATTTGCTTGTGCTTGAAAAATAAAATAGTGAAGTTTTCCAATTTTGTAATTGAGATAATCTGGTAGTGAAAATGATTGGATAACTAGATCTAGAGACAATTTGGTGATTGAGTATATGCTAAAGTAAGAGTTCTGTCACAAGTTTGAGAAAGAGAATGGAGTCTACAAATTTTGGATGATCAGTATAGGCTACATACTTCAATTTGAAAGTTTCGTCATAGCTTAGTATCCATTCCAGCGGTTCACAAGCAAGTGTTTTGTGCTATATAGGGAGTTCTAGCTGATATTTTAGAGCCAATAATGGGAAAAGGACTTATACCTGCCGACCTTGACACTTGGAAGCAAAGGAGAAGAGGTGAGCAAGTTCAGATTATGCCATTTTCAGTTTTGGACATGGGTCTAGACCAATCTGGAGTATCTGCCTATCAATTTTAGTTTAAACTTGAGCATGATGCACTTTCCTCCACATGAAGTAGTTCGTATGTAATTCTAAATGTTTTCTTAGAAAAAGTTATTGGCCTGCTTACAAGTAATACATTGTATACATTATCTTGAGAGGCATGCTCACAACTGTTTTAGAAAAAACAAGTATACAATGATCAACTCGATCCAGACCCTTGCTTTAGTCATGGCTTAACAATCATAACTGCGTACTTTTCCTTCAAATGGGTGTCTAGGAGATCAATGGAAGAAATATTATTATGGCTTATTTTGTTTTGCATCAATGTCATCGATTTCAGAAAGTATCTTTAAGATTCAAAGCAGAATTCCTTTTGTTGGATTAGAGTTGCTCCGTTGACAATGGTAAGTTGGATGCTAGTACCTCAATTAATTCCCTTTAGCACTGTACCTTTTGTTTTATAACAAGCTATTTATTGTCAAATCCTCATTGTTGATACTTCATCTTATTTTCCTGTTCTTTGTCATTCATCCTATCATTAGCTATTTGTTGTTAAATATGGCTGGACCATTGCCTGCTATTCAATAAACTTAAGCTATTAGAGTGTGATGAGAATATATTAATCATGTGTTGAAGAATCATCCCACATCGATTGACAACGGGTCCCAAATGCTCTTTATATTCATGTGGTCTCCCTCTAAAAGCTTAAGCTTTTGGGTTGGACTTTCTAACATCATGAATTATCAAGTGTTATTGTAATGAAGTGTGGTGCTCGGTCTATTTCAATTAATGTATATTTAATCACTTTTGTTGCCTTGGTCATCAACAAACTATCAATGTTCTTGTTTTGATTCATGGGTAATGCAAGTGTATGTGGTCTTGTCTAAAATTTAGCGTAACTTGTCTTGAAAACTACAGTTATTGCTCCTGGGTTTCATTCGTTATACTTGGAAACTATGACCCAAGTGTTCACAAAATGTTCGGAGAGGACCATCCAGAAATTTGAGAAGCTTTCCGAAGGCACAAATGAACATGGAGAGGGGAAAATTGAGCTGGATCTTGAAGCAGAGTTTTCGAGTTTGGCTCTTGATATTATAGGCCTTGGCGTCTTCAATTATGACTTCGGTTCAGTCACAAAAGGGTCACCCGTCATCAAGGTTTGATGAGTTGTGACTCGTCTTCTTCCTTTAGTGGCATTCATTTTGTTTAATCTCTTAATGATGCTTCCTTCTCGTGTATACTGTTCTCAGTTCTATTGCAGTTAAAAAATCTATAAAAACTTAAGGCTTCAAAAGTTTGTCAGTTAGAATTTTGGTTCCTTGTGTGGTTTTGATTTACTGCCGTCATTTAAAGGAAAAAGGCTCAACATAGGACCATGTTAAATATGTCTTGAATTTTATGTTCTCGGTCCGGTTCAACACCCGACCTGACATATTTTTGTTCGACCCGAAAATTGAGATTTAGTTCGCGACGCGGAGTTGGGCCTTTGGCCCAACTCGTAGCAAGTGAACAAATCTCTATGGCGGTCCGCCGAGTGAAGCAATGAACAAATGTCTCGGGGTTCGGGGCCATGCCCCAGGAAATTTTGGAAGCACTATTTATACCGCGGCTAGGTTTTCTCATTGAGACACCGAGAGAATTTTGTTTTCGAGAGTTTTGTGAGCCGTGAGCTTTTGTCGTTTTCGACTTCAAAAGCTGTACTCTCTTTGATTATAGTGGAATTTTGTCTTGCCTCGCCCGTGGACGTAGATCACGTTGTGATCGAACCACGTAAATCCCTGTGTTCTGTGTTTGTTCTTCCGCATCTGTTTACAACAGACCACAATATCAGAATAATGACGCATTGAGTTTGCTTCAGCATGAACGTATGAATTTTCGCTTGGATTTATCAAAGACCAAAATTTTCAGTAAATTTCATTGACACAACGCCCCCTCCAAAAATAAAACCGCCCCTCCTTGTGTCATACAGTGAAATTCAATGAGCACCTCCTACTTTTCCAAAAATCCTTCGTAAACCACCATCAAAGGTAAAGGCTTGAACCCTTTTTGAGTGTGTCAACCCCTTTAGTTTTGAGACACAAGGAGGCGAGCCTCTTGAAAAAGGGGTTGACCTCTGACAATGGGTGTGGAGGAGATTTTGGAAACCAGGGTATATCCATTGAATTTCACTAAAAAGTGAGGGTTCTTCTGAATAAACCCATTCTGTTATAACTTGTGAACTTACAAATAACTGCAAGTAATATCGGATTGATATGCTCTGGCTGACTTGACTTGACTATGGCGTTGAGAAATAACACTATCAAGTATTACAGAGGTAGAAGAACCTTTACTAATCAGCTGTTCACATATGACCACTTAGTAAGTTTATTGGATCACCTCAAGTTATATTTCCTCCACAAGGAGGAATTATAGGGATTGTCTCCTATGTTTGCATCAGTAACATATCTTCTTTACTTGGAGCAATAATTGAATGACACATGTTATATTGTGCATAGTTGTTTTTTATGTTGTGAACCTTTATGACAAAATACTTAAGACTTTCGTCTGCACCATATGTGCAAAAGACTAAGATATGGTGGTATTTTAGTGGCGATGTTTTGCAGCAGTTATTTTAATGGAAAGTACTTTCACATTGATCGGGTCTCATCCAACATTGCTTGAAACATCTCATTTTACAGTATTCTCTTATTACAATTCATGTCCCTAGAATTGACAGGTAGTTTTCTGGATCTTAAAGACATGATTTAAAATTATCAGTTCACGATGCCAATCTCACTTTGTCAGCTACACGACTATACCTTTTGTCATTTTGGTGTAGGCGGTGTATGGTACTCTTTTTGAAGCAGAGCATAGATCTACCTTTTATATCCCTTATTGGAAGGTCCCTTTAGCTTCATGGATTGTGCCTAGGCAGCGGAAATTCCGGAAAGATATCAAGGTTATCAATGACTGTCTTGATGGACTCATAAAAAATGCAAAGGAGACCAGACAGGTGAGTGTACCCGCTATATAGAGTGCATATTATATAGCTGTTGAGATTCAAAAATACGTACAGCTTGTTCTCTTGGCAATGAAAACCTCCACCTGGACATAGTTTATGTTTGATTGAGGGAAAGAAGCTTTCCATCACTCTAGCGGAAGGGCTCAGGATAGCAGATGTCAATATTAAAAACATCAGGAGTTGGAAGAAAGTAACTGATGATTAGGTCATAGTACAGATAAAGGCTCCATAAACAGCAAGGACCAACCTAAGTTCAAGTATTTTGATGTTCATGTTATCGTGATAAAACCTGCGTATATTCATAGAAAAGTAGATGCAATTAAAACGCTGGTGGTTGAGTTATTCTCATGTAATTGGTCACAGTGCTCGAGTTTACTCTGTTGACGGCTTTCGCAATAATTTTGAAGATGTATTCTCGGATGCGGTAATCTATGAAAGTTAATCCGCCCTCCCTTTGAGAAAATTAGCAGCAAGAACTCCATTTGCGGAGGCCTGGATTGCAAAATGCAAATGAATCAAACCTTTGTGAAGTAGGAGCAGCCTGTGTGAATCCTTGCTGTTTAATTCTCTTACTTTCAAGTTAAACCATTGTGATGATTATCTTTAATGGAACTAACCTGCAGGAAACAGATGTTGAAAAGCTGCAACAGAGGGATTACTTAAATCTCGAAGTGGGTAGACATGTTTTAATTCTTTTTTCCTTTCAATTTAAGAGTTGTTTGCATAATTCAATGAGCATATAAATTATTAAATCCAGGCAATGTATTTTTGAAGTTTGCAGGACGCCAGTCTTTTACGTTTTCTAGTTGATATGCGCGGAGTGGATGTAGATGATCGCCAGGTAAACTATGACTTCATAATCTTTCAAAGCTTCAGGTAGTTGAAGTTTCCCCAGGGGTTAATAGTAAATTGCTATTGGGTTCCTCGAACAATGTGATATCACACTGCGCACAGTGCCTCGAGTTGTTCGCTGTCCATCTTGGTTTTTTTTTAAATCGTTGTCATGCCAAGATTTGTCTCGTTTTTTATTTGACCATTAGTGCCATATTTAAAGGGTCCTTAATTCCAATTGATCTGATTAGTCTTGGGTCCACAATTTTGAGTAATATTTTTCAAGTAATTTCAGGTAATAAAATATCTGCGATTCCATGTAAAACATCTTTTCAACCTGAAGATCTACGAGCATATAAGTGCTTGTATAAATTTAAGCATAAGTAAATTATATAGAGAAAATTTGTAAGGATGTCTTTAGTTGATCTTTTTTGGCTTACTTTTGAGAAGGGGTGATTCTGAAACCAGACCAAATCAATCAATTTCCTTTTTTCTCAACCAACCAGCCCGATTAACCAATAAAACTGAAGAATACCGCTCGGTTCAGTTGCACTTTATTAGTATCGTATTTCTCTTTGCTTTCACCACTCTTAATTTTCAGAGACTGTTTCTATCTGATCATTTTAGATGCCCATATCTCTAAAGGGTGATTAAACACTGAACTAATATCTCTTGCAAAGTCTGAAGCCCAGGATATTAGTTCTGTATCCATCCCTGGTTAGAGGTATGCTCACACGTAGTGGATGCAAGTTGCTCATGCCTACACTGGGTCATATGCTTCTAAAAAATTATCATAGTAATGCATCTATGCTTCTGAAACTCATCACCTGAGTCACACATTTAGTTCAGACATGCGCCTTTGGCTTTTTCTGAACAACTCGTTTTAACAGTTGAGGGACGATCTTATGACTATGCTCATCGCTGGCCATGAAACAACAGCTGCTGTTCTTACCTGGGCTGTTTTCTTACTTGCTCAAGTATGTTTCCATTCACCAACTTCTTTGTGGAGCAATTTCAATCTTGTATTGTGTTGGAATGAGTTTGACATGTCTGTGCTGCTTGAAATTTACTTGCCTAAAGCTGTCATTTGAATTATTGACTTTAGTTTTCTGAATGCAGAACCCATCGAAAATGAGAAAAGCACAAGTAGAGATTGATTCAGTGCTTGGTCAAAAGAGGCCAACTTTTGAATCTCTAAAGAAGTTGGAGTAAGTCATGTATGATCTTCCTTGTTTATCAATACATTTGCGAATACTGTAGTGATATATGATGTCGAAGTTGACCCATGCCCATCTTTTAGAGATTTTTCTCTCTTTAAGGGAAATAATTCTTAGCTCAGAACCAGAGCCGTTGTTCCCTAATCTCATTCTTGAAGACAAGGATTAACTAAATGGAAGTGATTGGTGCTACTTCTGCAGACAGTAATCTGTATATGTTAATCTTGTGTTAAGAGAATTTTTCAGCACCATGTGTGAGAAGCACTTAAAAAGCTGTATATTAATTTCTCTGCTTTTCCAACCAAAAATAAAATTTCTCTGCTTTTACTACTCAAAGCTAACTCAAATTGATTGCATTTGTTATAAGATGTTTATTTCTGTTGCAATGTAGAGAAAGAGAGAGAGATAGGGAGATTGTTTGCAGAATTTACCCTCGATCTTTTCCAATGATGGTTTTTGTATGCTCTGTAGCTGCAACTTCTCGTCTTAGTGTTGTTATTTACATCCCCAGAAAGACCATGGAAAAGAAAGTTCTCCTGGAAGTGCTTTTGTTTTCTCTTATCAAAATCTAAGTATGTTAGTAGCAAGCTCATGCATGTTTATGAACTGTATGCAATAATGGGAAGGTTTCTCTACACTAATCCTCGATTCCATTGATTGGTTTTGTATCTTGCCTATGTATATCTTTCTTGATATTCAAAATCCATATGCCTTTTCCATTCTTTCAGGTACATTAGACTAATAGTTGTGGAGGCACTTCGTTTGTATCCTCAACCGCCTTTGCTTATTAGGCGTGCCCTCAAATCAGATCGATTGCCAGGTGATACTAGCTACTAAATCGTAAACATGATTGCTAATTAAGTTTTACACTCGATAATTTTTACCGATGCTTCATTGGAATAAAAAGCGCGGTTGTCGCTTAATCTCCTCCTATAGTTCAGTGATCATTTCAGTGCAATCGCAGATAACAGGAAAAAAATGCTATCAGTGGTTGAGATGACTGCTTGTGATAGGAGATATTAAGCCACTTGTGGATCAAATAAGAGAGAATGTATTTGAAAACTCTCAGTCTCAACAAATTTATGTCTTAATTGATGCTTGTCTGAGTGGGTCGTGTTGATCTGCAGGCATTACCATCTCAAATTCATCTTGAAGGAACCACTTTTGATGGTTTTCCAGTAGGTCATCCTTAAAATTAATGATAAACATGGTTTGCGATGAGTTGCCTAACTGCAAGTTCTCTTCTCTGTATGAGCTAAAGGGCTATCCTGGGAAGTCCCACGTCTTATGATTTTTGTTAGAGAAAGTCCACGTAATAACCAATAGGGAGTATCCAGTTGACCAAGTGAAGTTATTTCATGGGACAAAAGTGTTTCTTCAATTCTAGCTGAGTTGGCATTATTCCATGGGACAAAAGTGTTTCATCTATGCATCACTGTAGTAGCAGCATGTCAACGAGGAATGAAGACATTGTTAGACTTCTGTTATCATTTTTTCTATGCTAGTCCTCATCTTATTTATGAACTAGAATTCTACATTTTGCTGTCAACTTTGTCTTTCAGGAGGTTATAGAGGTGACGAAAATGGCTATCCGATTCCTGCTGGCACAGATATCTTCATTTCTGTGAGTAATTGCATTGCTTGTATATTAGTTCTTATCAGTTTGTACTGCCACTTTTGTGAAGCTAAAAATATGTCTAGCCCTTTCGTTTCTGCTCATTCTGGTGAGCATAACCTTTTGACCTTTAAATTAAATTATTCAGGTGTATAACCTTCATCGATCTCCATATTTTTGGGATCGGCCCAATGAATTTGAACCGGAGAGGTTCCTGACACGAAGAAAGAATGAGGGGGTTGAAGGCTGGGCGGGCTTTGATCCGTCTCGGAGTCCTGGAGCGCTATATCCGAACGAGGTTACCTTCTAAATTGGAATCTCCACGCTTCAAGCACTTTGTCTCATTCTACTCAGCCAAAAGAATGGCTCACGTCCTCTGTCAAATGTAAATTGTGTATTGTGATGATCAGATCATCTCGGATTTTGCGTTCTTGCCATTTGGTGGTGGGCCTAGGAAGTGTGTCGGAGACCAATTTGCCCTGACGGAGTCGACAGTGGCATTGGCTATGCTGCTCCAGAAATTTGATGTGGAGCTGAAAGGATCGGCCAACTCTGTGGAACTTGTTACTGGCGCAACAATCCACACAAAGAACGGGTTGTGGTGCAAATTGAGGAAGAGATCTGATCAACCGCAAATCTGATCATCAAAATGCACTACAAGCTATCAAAAGGTTGGGCAAGTCAGCCTTTTCTCGGGTTGTTCTTTCCATCTTTTATCTTGCTATTGATAGACAGATATTCGTTTTCTTTTCACAGACTCGAGTTCACCAGCACGGTACAGATTCAACCGGCAAAACCCCTCTTTCCCTATCTAGAGTTGAGATCAGATGCAAGAATCTGGTGCTGTATAACAATGACTTCTCTATGAATTTATGTTATATGAGACTTGAATAGCAAGTCAAATGCAGAAAAACATAATGAGCACTTGTTGCGTGCGTCAACTTGGACGTCTGTGGGTTGCATGGACAGAATTGGTTTGCTACCAAAAAAAATTGAACGGCTTCATTTGGAAAAAAAAAATTCGGGAACCCGGTGGCCATTGAAATTTCACTTTTACAATATATTTTACGTTTTTTTCAGCGGAGAGCTGACCGTTATTTCAGGCACTTTACCAGATATTGCCAATACGATTCACTGCAGCAAATTAAGTATCCGATTGACAATTCTTAGCTCGATTTGGCAACTACAACACTGAACTGAGAGATGATGACAGAGATTCCAATTTGCAACACGAATCTAGATTGAATGATTATGACAGAAAAGAGAAAAGGAAGGTTGCCACAACGACTACCAACATGCGCGCGTGAGAGAGAGAGAGAGAGAGAGAAAGAGAGAGAGAGAGAGAGAGAGAGAGAGAACATCCTTAAGATACGAAAAAAGATCCCTTTACACGTCTTGTGAGTCGTCACCTATGCTCAGCTAAATTGAGTATACATAATTTGTGGCAATTTGTCACTATGCTCAGCTAATCTGCAGAAAAGTGAATATACATGAGGTTGGGAGCTCCTTTTTTTCCTTATATATGTTGGTAGCTAATTGAGAATGCTCTTGCCATTCTCAACTTCACTGAATACACGGGAAGGTCAATAGGTAAATTCACCTATGCAATTTCTTATCCTGCAAGTTCTTCAATGCAATGCCCCGAAACTGCAAGTGCATCGAACCGACAGGCTGTCCCTGCACAGGGCCAAGCTTACGGTCCAATACAATCAGAAAGTCAAAAAGAAAAAGCACAAATTTAGTTGTTAAGATGCATACAGTGTTTTGGAAATCACTCTGGACGGTGAAACACCCAGGAATTTCTTGTGCTCTAAAACCAACCTGTCCCTGAAATCAACAAACTTCCTCCATCAATTTAATTGTTGAAAGAAAATCTACTCATCGAGACATTGGTTAATTAGATTCTGTACCAGTTCCTGCAAACTTTGTTGGGTCCCACAGTGAAAAACTCGCGACGACACTGAATGTAGATGTCCCTAATAAGATCAAGGTCAGGATCAAAGACCAGAAGATGTGGCCAAAAGTATCACAGAAAACTATGCGTTAGAAGTTAAGGACAGAAGGCAAGCATGTAACACACAAACCAGGCCACCCTGTAAATTGCCATAATAACCATTGCGAATGGGACATGCTGAATCTAGTTGTCCCCGCATGTAGTAAAACACATGAGCTCAATACCACCATCCATGACAGGCAAAATCCGTTTATCAAAGATGATAAGATTCCATACCACTCCTTGCATAATTTGATGAGCCTCATCATGGCCATCTAGACTAGCTGTTCTGAAATTTGATTCCTACACAATTGAAAGACAACGAAATGAGAGAGACCATAACCACAGGATAATCTTGAAATTGTGTCTATTAACACTTTCTAAACTGGATACCGTGTTTTGCATGCCCTGTTGGGAAATCCAATGGTTATCCTGGTCTTCTGTTCTCGAACTTGCTTGTTCCTACAGTTTAAGCACAAAGCTAGTTGAGTTACCCCATCTCTCCATGAACAAGCTAGCACTCATAATAACGGAATGAACTAAAATGAATAAGCCTAACCATATCATGTAAGTTATCTTGAGTCCTAATAGTTGCACCTCCTTGCTCAAAATGCACCACCTGCAACATGAATAAAGTCATGGTCAAGGGCTGGATCAGGCGACAGTTGCTGCAACACATCTGCCACTCAAAGTGTCAAGTACTAAGCCTAAACTGACCTTTCTTTTCTTACTAATTTTCTTTCTCTTAAGTGACTTGACCACGTTCCCATGATTCTCTTCCGGGGCTTCAGCATTTTGGTGAACGGTAACTAAGCCAGGCTCCGAAACACTCCACCTAGAATTAAGCCTCGAATACCATCTCGACACTTCCTCTAAGGCCTGAAATGCAATATCATAAGCTTCCTGAGATAAAGACCCCTGTTCCCCCAGTTTAATTGCTCGCTTACAAAGATCATTAAACCGCTGCATTCTGGAAGCAAGCAATTCGCTTGATTTTTCAGCGTCAGTTTCCCTGATCTTTGCATTCTTAGTCCAGCGCTTTAAAATATATTGACATGGGATGCTAGAAATGCCAGATGTTTGAAGAGCAAGCATTGCATGTCTACAAAGGAAACCTCTGTATTCAAATAGTTTACATGAACAAAAAATTTCTGAGTCAGCTTCCTTCCAAGAAACAACAAAATTTTGACTTTCCCTAAAATCTTCAACTTGAAAGATTGCAGCTGGTTCATTTCCGTTTTCTCTTTGCAGATGACACAACTCAACTCCCAGAACCTCGTCCTGAAATTGCTTAAAAACTGCATTAGTATAGATTGTTGACATTTGCTTCTCAAATGTTGAGGCAGACCTTAATACAGGTGACTTGCACCGTGATTCGGCATCCGCTACAGCCTCCCTTTCATACATTTCTTGCAAGTACACCTTGTATTGCTTCAAAAAATCCTTCAAAGAAAGTCCCCTATTTAAATACCTATCAAGAAAAGCTGTCATGCTTCTAGTTCGATCAGCTGTGGACATTCCAGCTAAAAAGGCATCCTGCATGTAAATTGGGACCCACTTTTTACGATCTTTATATAATGAGCGAACCCATTCATCCTCCCCTATTTCAAACTTATGAATCAGTTTCTGCCATCTCTTTTCAAACTGTTCATCTGTCCAAGACAGATACACGCACTTGTTAAACTTATCCATGAATTTATCATATTTATCTAAAACATGTGCCAAAGTTAGAGGAACATTTCTGAAAATGTGCCACAAGCAAAAACAATGGCGTATATCCGGAAATACATCTGCCACAGCTTCTTTCAGTTGTTTGTCTTGATCCGTTATGATAACTTTAGGAGCTTGATGACCCATTGCATTGAGCCATGCCCGCATTACCCAACTATAAGACGATTTCCCTTCGTCCCCAATTAATGCACATCCAAGCAGTAAGTACTGAGCATGGTGATTGACTCCAACAATAGGAAGAAAAGGAATACTGTAATTTTCTTTAAAATAGAAGACATCAAAGAAGACCACGTCACAGAAACTGGCATAATCATGCCTACCTTTAGCATCAACCCAGAACACACTTCTCAAGCATTTGTCACGTCCCAAATCTATTGCATAGAAGAAATTGGGATTCTCCTGCTGCATGCTCATGAAATATTCCAGCATCACTTGTGTATCTTCCTCATTTAGGACAGCTTGTAGACCTTTCTTTTGATAGGCTAAAGCATTAGCTTGCTTGGTCCTGCCACAGAGGGAATTATAGAAGTCATCTGGGACAATGTCATGGTTATGCTCCTTAACAACACTATATATAATCCATATGCCATCTTCCCTCCTCTTCATATTCATTCCGGCTTTGCAGTTCGTCTTTATACAGGGGCGTGGATGGACAGTTGAACTGGACTCGCGCTTGCTTCCAAACCTAGAACAGGCTATCTTTACATCAATAAACTTCCCAGATTTCTTAGAGCGACGACTAGCTTTTATTGTGATGCCAAATCCAACAGAGCGAGCATACTCTCTGTAGAAAGAGTATGCTGCTTCCTTCGTTTGAAATTCTAAACCAATCCAAGGCTCCGTACTCGACGATCTATGATGAACATCAACAATGGAGTTTGTCTCCGCCTGATTCATAATACAAACACCATTTTCCTCGCTGTTGTACTGGGGGGCTACCATAATATCTCCACTCCCATTAAGAGAATTTACATTTCCCCAGCTAGTTTCACTCCCATCAAGAGAATTTACATTTTCCCCGCCGTCACACTGGGTTGCTACCAGAATATTTTCACTACCATCAAGAGAATTTACATCCTCTTCCTCAGCAAGCATTTTGCTGGAAGACTCTGCAACATCCAAATCTGCATTTTTGTCAGAGTCTAACTTCTTTATTCCATCTGAAGGAAATTCAAGATCAATCTCCATGTACTAATTTATGAACTCTTAGATTCCTGCAAGAACATGGGAAGAATTTTTCGCAAACTTCAGGCAAAACAAAGACGTAAACTGTCTACAGATGACAAATCCAGAAAGCATATTTCATGAATAATCATATGGCAATGACCAAAGATTCTAGTTTTTGTGGGTTAGAATTCACACTACCAAGGTTGAACATACTTCAAGACAAACTTAGTATGCACGTATCAATTCAGTGTTGGTCGTTCGAGGATCTTTCAAGAAACTTTAACTTTTATGGAATGATGAAAAAAATGGGTATTCCAATCCACCATAGTCCACAAGCCAGGTCAATCTGAGCCACTACATTCCTTTTAATCAACTTAAAGGACTAAATAACTCAATCAATCATTTGTGTGTGTGTTGATTTTTCCGCAGACTCTGACGAAAATTGAACAAAATTTTTTCACATGATTGACCTGACCCATACAATTGTAAGCCAATGACCGATTAAACAGTAACGCTCAGAGTCGAATACAGAAAAGAGAATTCACTAGAAAACCAACCACCAAAGCCTTCAGTCCAAGAGCTCAAGTCAGGGACGGCGCTACCATATGATCAGTGGGTGCAAGTGCCCCCGCTGCATTTTCAACATTCTCCAATTAATATATCGTTTTTGTGTTAAAAAATTGCCAATAGACTTGTTCTTTGACCCCATTGGACAATGTAACGTGATGACTTTAAACCCATGTTCACCTTACAAGTTAACAAGGTCAGATTACATTCAAATAAAATCCAAGTCTCATACAACAATAGTACCTCCGATAATGTAAAGTATTTCTTTACTCATTGGAATTGGATATATATACTTTCTCACATCATTGTGCACTGTTGCAAATCTTCATGTAAATGATTAACAGACTTTGGGAAGAAACTAAATTTACTCTGCTCATTTCAAACAGAAGCATATTAGTTGAGGAACAATCTGCAGTCACTTTGCTAAGAAAATTTAAGTTGGCATAGAAAAAGAAATGATGGTCACGGTACAACACTTTCCAAGCACGGAAACATGTCAATCACCGTAAGAGGTTGTTATCACGTAATTCCTCCTGACCCTAGTTGATATTTTTACGCCCCATTAATCATGAATACGGAGAAAAGACGCGAATTATGGATATAAATCTTTCATGTATGCAGAAGTCTGATTATTAGTTATTTTTCCTACTTGTATTATGAGGAACACTATTATGTTTCCTAAAGTTTGGTTATCTTTATCGCCACGTAACAGAACAGCCTTCAGAGACACTTTTCGACCTGTCCAAAGTTCAAATCTTTAGCGTTCTTTTTTCTTTTATCTTCAAAGAAAGCAGACACCATTGAGACAATAGCCTCTGGGACTACACGTATAATCTCCCATTGTTCATATTCTCCCTATCTCATGTATGCCTCGTGGATAATTGAGGTTATATTACATGAACGCATTTTGCGCCATCATGCCATTAGCCGCTCCCCCCGGCTGACAAACTCCGCCCTAGCGCCGCCCTGGCTCAAGTGATGATCAGACGCCTGAGACACGGACGAACACAGCCGCGAGCCATTTGAAAACCCACGAGGCGGCAGTCCCAACCCAATGTAATACTCGGATTACCAACCGATCCCATCGAATCAAGGACGAACACAATAAAGAGGGTCGAATGAGGGGCGAGGGCGAAGCCTCGAGGACCCAGAAACGTGAACCAGACGGGCATGGAGCCGAGCGAATGAAGAAAGCGGGGCACCGAAAGGAGATTACCCAGAAGAGAGAGGAAGCCATAGCATGAGACCTCGTCCGAAGTGGCGATCGTTCAGTTCCGGAGCTGGGGCTGCGCAGGTGAATTCGGAAGCTTCAGGTCTGATCTGATGATTGTTGGTCCTGAACCGACGACGACGACGACGACGACGAAGAAGAAGAGAGAGCAGAGGAGAGGAGAGGAGAAGCAGGTGACTGACTGAGAAGGAAGAAAGGAGGGAGTGGGAAGGAAGAGTGAACTTTCCTCTTTTTCTGTTTAAATGCATTTTTGTTAGTGAGATGAGTGCCAACAGCACTTACTAAAATAATAATAATAATAATAACAATGATGATGATAATGATGATGATAATAATATTGTAATTTTTAATACAACGATTATTTTTAATGCTATGCCTTGCCCAATCACTATTTTGAGGGTTGGATTACCACGAACTAAATATACTTAACAAGTGAATTGAATCACGGGTTAACACGACTTCTGTAAATGTATCGTCGATCATGATACTTCATTATAAATTAAGCGGAAAAAAAGATGTGCGTACCTAGGATTGTAAATTAAGGGGATAAAGTGATTGAGTGATAAAGTTTGATTGCGATGAGGACAAATGATAGCATTAGTCTTTGGATTTTATTTAAAGTGTAATACGATCCCTACACGTTGAATTGGTCCATGTAGGTTTCCGAACTTTCGATTGATCTGATTGATGAGTGAAAAAAGTTGACCGCGTTAAGAATAACGACACCGTCAATAGTGTCTTCGATATATCAGTTAGTTTAACTGGATACTTGAAAGTTTTGTTCAATCTTTGATGTTGTTTTTTGAACTTTAATCAGTTCGATTTGATCCTTAAACTAGTCCTAAGGTGTTTTTATATTATTTGGTAACTATAGCAACGTGAGAACCCACAAAAATGCCGTACCTAAGAGGTGTTTCCCATGATCACTCGAGGGATCAATCCACCGTCCTCAATGCGTTTTACACCAATGTATCCTGACATACCTTTCGACCCAAAATGTTGTACCCCGAAAGCACTTCAAAGATGTTCGATAAACAATCGATATTTGTTCTAGTGCCCTTCGGCAAGTGTTTTGAGTCTTGACGTTTGCATCCGAGGGAAAAACTAAACCCCATCGTCCAAGCTGAAATTACCTAAATCCGCAAGAAAACAGAACCGAACCTCTCATACCCTCACGTTGTTTCTGCTTCCCGGCTAACCTCTTCGGATTTCAATGAGAAAATCACACTCGCATTCGCAAACATCTCAAAAGGCGAAGTAAAACCGAGTCGAGCACCGACGACGTTCTTTCTTTAAAAAGGGTCAGTGAACAGCCAGTTCTGGACGGAGCCTCAAATGGGCTAGAGCCGACAGAAGAAAACAGAACGAACCAGCTCAGCTAGGATGTCACATGATATGATCATGAAAACGCGAAGAGCTGAAATACACGAACGACAAAGATGAGAATGCTGAAACACAATGAAGCTTATACAGAAGCTCTGTTCCAGTTTACAAGATAGTTACCCCAGATTCCTGTGTGTCCTATTAAAGCACTGCATTAGATGGATATCCGACAGACTTGAGTTTTGTGAAGTACTCAATCTAAGGAACGTGCAACAGGGACGCGAGTGCGGACACACAGTGCTAGAAAAGTTTCAACCCTTTAACCAAATCTATTACATGGAATCTTAGTTTCGCAGGAAAAGAACACCTATACGATATCCCCCATTTAGTATTTCTGAGGCGGTTGTTGGGTCGGCAACAATCCAAATCGCTTCTTTAGAAGAACTCTTTGCCTTGAGTATTTGTCATCAGGCGAGAAGCGAGCTGCGGAAAGAACATGATCGAAACATAAATAAATAAACAAAAACACCCTATGCTGTAGAAACCTTATTAAACATATTCTGCAGCAAACAATTAGCTGCAATATGTGAGGCATGATTCAAATTATATAGACTAAGAACACCAGGTGGTTGAAACATATATGTTTCATCTCCACTGAACTGCAGCTCCATTGGAGGAAGGAAGTGCAGGATAGTTAAGAGCGACATTTGATCTAAGTCCACTAGCATTCAAAGCTAATCATTGCCATTAGACTTTTTAGCTTTGCCAAGATGGACTATGAAGACAGGATTCAACAGAGCCCACACACGAGAAGAATGTATGGATAGATAACAAATGGAAATCCAACTATTCCCACAAGGGCAATAATGTTCTTTAACAGTGGTAGAGAAAGAAGATAACTTAAAAAACTGTAACAGCCTTACATTCTATCAAAAACCATCTCAGTCCAGTGCAATAATCCCACCAGGACCAAACAAATATAACAACCAAATACCTAACTCAAGAAAAGCAAATAAAAGATCAAATGAGGTGAGGTCTTACCCGGATGAGCAGATTGTGTAGCGAGACCCAAGGGAGTTTCTTTCTGCATACAATCAAACAGCCATTTCAGAACATGGATCGGTAAAATAGTTCGAAGAGTATATGATAAACTGTACAAGCAGAAGATTTCATTTTTTAACCAGTGAAAGGTTAATTTTCATGAGAGAGGACCCAAGTGGGCACTGGCTGCTATACAAAAATCAATTATTAGTCAAAGCATGCACTTTATAAAGCGAAAAAGTTGGATTCTTGTAATTAATTGTCTAATTACAGGACGAAAATCACTCTCTGGCAGGACAATCGCATGTTACAATTTAAAAAACCGATGCCCCTACCCAATTCTATGGAATGCTGTAAGAGAGTTGAACCAACCATTGTAATATTCAACAATAATTTTCCTTTAATCACTGCAAGGCATTACCAATACCGAAATCCCCAGACAATTGCACAGGGACTCTAAGGAAAAGCTCTTTTACCTATTTGATTTGGCGAAGCAGTAGACAAAGAATTATAAAGCTGAGCTCTTTTTCCTAATCTATTCAGCGAAGTAGCAGGCAAAAACTACGGTGTCGCATTAAACTCGACGTCTATTTTCCTAAGTACAGCGTCCAGATGAATCCAACCAGTAGGAGCGAGATTAGTAGCATTACCACCATTTCAGGAACCACAAACAACCCATGTATGAACACGACAGTTCAATATCTAGAACAAATAATAAGACAGTACCTTTGTGGTGTACACTTTGTCACCATTATCGTTTATGTAGAACTGAAGATACATCGTGGCTCGATGAAACCTGCAGATATCGGAGCAGAATCAATGGAAAAAGACCCAGATTGGCATAAGTCCACCATCAACGTTCCAGAAACCGAAAGCTAAGCATCCACGCAAAACAATGAATACCCAGTAAGCTCAAACTATGATAACCACCAGAAACTTTCAGCAGATTACGATGGCGAGCTTCCATGTGGTTCATTACGAGCCAAAGCTGAAACTTTTAGTATGCACAAGAACGGTTTCACCATGCGAATAAACCATCGTTTGAATTCGTAGAACTGGCTACAGAGAGAGAGAGAGAGAGGCATACACAGGGCAAGAACTGAACGGAGAGAGATTAGACACGGGTCGGCGGCAACTTCAGCTTCCCTGCGGGTCCTTCACTGGCGACGAGAGCGCGGGGCAAAAACTAGGGCTCACTGCGGAGAGCTTTAAATATGGTCCAAGGCAGATTTTAGTCCCCTAGATTTTGGAAGTTTTGTAATTTGGTCCTTTAAATTTTATTTTATGCAATCAAGTCCTCTAACTTTCTAGATTTGTCCAATAAAAACCTCAAAGTTTTATTTTGTGCAATCAAATCTGGTGACTGTTTTTTATTTGCATAATTAGGTGCTTTTGTTACTAACACTGTCAAATCAAAAAATTGCTTCTTGTTTTCTTGTTTTTCCACTTTATTTTCTGCTGATTTGACGTCAAATTAGCATCACGTGTCATTTTCTATTACATAAGAAATGCGACATCATTAATTAACTTGACAGAGATCGGTTAAATCGATTGCCGAGAAAATTAGAGGATTTAATTGCACAAAATATAACTTAGAAGACCAAGTCACACAATTATAAAAAGTTAGAGGACTTCATTGAACAAAAACTCTTTCGTGTTTCAATAGTAACACATTGTTCCGTGGAGCTAAGGTCCAAAATAGAAATAAAGATGTGTTTCCGCGACTCTACCACTCAGTCAATTCTATCCAAAAAAAGCTAAAGAGCCAAATTGCACCGCCATTAAAATTATAAGGACCAAATCTATACCTAACCTTTTAAATCTCTAAGGAAATGATTTGAACAGAATAAATATATGAAGAACATGAAAAGGAAATGCTTTTAGGGGCAATGAGGGCGAGCCTACCAAACCGAATGGGCCTTTTGTAAGACGAGGAACACCGAAGGGGGTATTACCGGACCGGACAAGCCCAAACTGAACTGAACCAACCAATATTTTGAATATATTTGTTATTCTTGAGTTATTGTTCATTTTTGGCAAGAAATAAAATGGTTCGAATCGAATATGTCCTAAGTAATACATAGAGGAAAAGTTATATTTTTCTATACAAAATAGAGCAAATCATATTTTATACCGCGTATTTAAACGTCACCTCAGTTGAGAGTGTTTGTGTCAAACTCAATTCTGTTAGTGTGATAAACATGTTTCTTTAATACGATTAATAAACATGCATGTCTATTCTTTTAACTCGCTATCAATATTAAAATGACATTTTTATAGTCGTGTGATTTGGTCCAGTTTAACTGAAATATATTAACTTGTCAATCATATTAATATGACATGTTTAAATACATGCATGCACGTTTATGAAACATCTAATCAGTTTGTCCGAGAGCTCATTTTCATAAAATAAGGTCATTTTCATAATACATGAGCTTATTTGATAATCTATCGTGTTTGGCTTTTCAAAATTACGACAGGTTATCGAACTGATCATGTTCAAGGTTGACAGATATAAGACGTGATACAAGCATAACAGAATACATTAATCATCAGCCCTGACAGATGTTGAATACATAGAAATGGTTTGCTAAAGAATGCAACATATTATAGTCATGTATTTTTACTTCTTTTTTAGTTGATAACTCGGGGACACGAGCATGAAGACCTAACAACCTAGAAGCCCAAAACCTATAAATCGATTGAGTTCCCTGTACAGGCAGCCCTGACCCGGAGCAATTTACACGCAAATCATTAGGACCAATTTAATAGACCAATCTAGTAGTATTCCTGAGATTGCTCCTTTGTAAGTACTCATCACTGCACATTATAAAACCATTCGACTCCTTTGCAAGTTATGGTCGCATGAGAAGAATACCAAGATTGCCAATTTTATTCCCCCTGGAAGTGGAAAAGCCTGCCGGTACTCCCCACCAATATACCCCTCCATTCTGCAATGCATAGGGTGTAGAGTGGACAACCATCAATTTGCCATGCTAATCCTCCAAGACCCAAGTAAATCAATGTCTCCCAAAAAGCATAAATTACTCGTGCCAAGCCAATTGATTAGCTCGATAAATGCTTGAGATAATGGACGCAATCCCAAAATGATCCATAAGCCGCCATCAATCAACTGGAGTTGTAAGTTCACAATTCTTAGGAGGACTTACTGTTCTGCAGAAAATCTCAGCCTGAAGACAATCTAAATGCACGTCCAAATTCATAGCATGGCTGTGAACTAAGAGATTCGAGGTTTAAAAAAATTGAGAGAGAGAGAGAGGAACCATGCTGGCAAACTTTGACAATATAGATGAGACTGAACAAATGGAGAATTTACTGACTGATTCTCAAGAAATCCTATCTATTTTACCTGGATACAATCCAAGATACACAAGAACAACAGCCTGTACAACTGACGATGACCCTACCTCAGCATATCTCGACTTTCCTCAGGATTCCATAAATAATACAACAGCCGATCTATGGTGATGAAAATCATTAGCCTATCTGCTATCTTACAAACACTACAATTGGAGACTTATGTATTACTTCCATTTGAGATATAAGTTCACCTGCCGCCCTTTGGCGGACTACAGCTTCTGTTTCCTGTCGAACACAAATATGGAAGTCATATATTGACAAGGATCCAACAAAAGTTAAGATCTATGTACTGCATGTTCTCACCTCTGTTATCTAATAGATGTTAAGCATGTCTCGATGCATCCTCATGCAACTGCGCTGCTCTGACATTGGAATCATCCTGGTACAATGGAGGAGCAGAAAACCCATCATAAAAGTGTTTCCATTTAAATGACACGACCATATCCGACTAGATCTGGCAAACTCACCCGGATACTATAAGTAAAACCGCCTGGGGATCTGAAGAAGTCCATCTGTCCCTGCAAGAATAATCACATAAAATAGTTATGCAAGAGATCTATCGAACCTCGTAAACTATTCTAAGCCAATGATACTTTACCAGCCCATGCATGCTCTGCTGAGGAGTGTAGTATCCATCATGACTTGGTGCTATTGAGTTGAGTTGCCCCTACAACGGTGGAATCCAGAAGCTACGTTAATAACCCAAACTGCACGGTAACAATTTATAATATATTTGTCCGCTTTCTTCATGACATACCAGCCCTTGAATCGTCTGCTGACTCCCATAGTAATTATCACGAGTAGGTGCCATTAAATTAAGTTGTACCTAAAAGAAAGTTCCAGCACAAAATTAGCTATACAATGAATTAATAGCACCCCATATGCAAGGATAAAGAACACCTCCTACCATTCCTGGAACGCTCTGCTGAGTGCCATAGTAGCTATCAAGGGTCACTGCTCTTGAGTTTAGTTTCTCCTATAAAAAAGAAAGAAAAGAAGCACTCAACTCAACAACATGAACATCCAGCATTTTTCCATTCGGCATATACTAGCGAAAGTTTTACAGCATTTAGCAAGTCGTCTAAATAAAGGACCCCTTGGCCAAAAGTAGTAGATTGATCAAAGATTATCACTCCGAGAGGAAGAACGGGGACAAACCATTTGCTGCAAGCTTTCTTGTGTCCCAATTGTCATTATATCTGGCTCAGAGGTCACCTGTAAAAGAAAGGAATTGGTGTCATAATCAGATAGGAAGAATGCCAGTAAGAAGCAATACCGATCGCATTGACAACCAACCTTTCTTTTCTTGGTCGGGTTCTTCTTTTTATTTGTTTTGCTCGTTCCTCTGCCTTGGTTGTCATCTTCTGCACACAATAGACCATGAGTTGCTGATGTCCCAGCTTCAGCAAGACTCTTACTAATAGTGTTTTGATTAATGCAGTTTCCAAAAGCTTCCTCAATTGCATGGAATGCTAGACTGTAAGCCTCCTGGGACATCGATCCCTCTTCACTCAATCTCATTGCCCGCTGGCATAAATCATTGTACCTCTGTACTCTCGATTGAACCTGTTCAGATTCCTCTGTCATCAAAAGCCTGTTCCTTGCATCTTTGGTCCATCTCCTCAAAATATAAAAAGATGGAATTGCAGAAAGACCACGCATTTGTAGAACAATCAGCGCATGTCGACACAGATAACCCTTGGACTCAAACAACCTGCATATACAAGAAATTTCTGACTTCATCTCGTTCCACATGACAATGAACTCTTGGTCCTTCTCAAAATCTTGAACTCTGAAAGTCATGCCAGTCTCATCTTGTCTTTCCTCTTTGGGACGACAAGCAACTGCACCCAGAACCTCAACTTGAAACTTCTTAAGAACCGCATGTGTGTATGATCCCGAAACACTCTTCTCAAACGGAGATGGAGATTTCAGTACAGGTTGCTTACTCCATGTATCAGACTCTCCTTTGCTTTCCTCTTCATACCTATCTTGCAGAATTGCTTCATACTGTTTCACAAACTCTTGCACGGTGGTCTTCTTATGCACATACTTATCAAAGAAGGCATTTACACTATCAGCTCGCTGAATGCTACACATTCCAGCAAAGAAAGCATCCTTCAGAAAGGTAGGCACCCAATGCCTGCGATCCTCATACAATGAGCGCATCCATTCGTCGTCTCTTAATTCACATCTGGTTATAATCTTAGACCACCTTTTCTCGAATTCTACCTCTGTCCAAGACCTATTGACACATTTTTCAAATTTCGCCATAAAATTATCATGCCTTTTTATCACATGACCGAGATTTTCAGAAAGTTTCCCCCATATTTGCCACAAACAGAAGCAATGACGAGCATTAGGGAAAACGTCTGAAATGACTGTTTTAATGGTTGTGTCTTGATCGGTGATTATTACTTTCGGATGCTGACCACCAACGGCTTTCAACCAAGTTTGCATGAGCCAAGAGTATGTAGCAGCACTTTCATCCGACAATAATGCACAACCAAGCAACATGAACTGATAGTGCTGGTTCACACCAACAAATAAGGCAAGAGGCATCTTGTACTTGCTTCTAATGTAACTCGTATCGAAGGAGATTACGTCATTGAAACTACTGTAGTCATGCCTACTCTTCGCATCAACCCAAAGCAAACTTCTCACGCGCTGATCATCAGCCAGGTCCACCGCATGAAAGAAATTTGAATTTGAGCATTGCATCTGTGAGAAAAACTCGAGCAAGATCCTTGCATCTCCAGCTTCTAATAGAAAATTACGACCTTTCTCGAAGGGATTTTTCATGTCATTCTTCTGACCAACCACATTTTTATATTCAGCAAACTGTCTAGCCATTGCAGCATACATCTTTCTCGTCTGTTCGCTGATAGCTTGGGCTGGTAAAAGTTCATGGTTATGCTCCTTAACAAAGCTATGTATAACCCATTTTCCGTCCGACCTTCTCTTCACGTGCATACTTGCTTTGCAATCCGTCTTAGCACAAGCTCGTCGACCAGTTGCATTTTCTGGATCTTGCTTGCTTTGGCGGGCCCGAGGCCGATTAAAAGACTTTTCATATTCTCTTTTTGTCCCATATCTAGAACACGCGAATTTTGCATCAATAAATTCTCTAGACGTTTTCGAACGACGGCTGTTTTGTATTGCAGTGTTGAAACCCATAGACCGAGCGTACTCCTGATAAAAAGAATAGGCTTCTCCATGCGATTCAAACTCCATACCTGAAAGCGGTTCAAGGTTCATATACTCTTTCACCTCCATCATATCTGCTGTGGGGGGATTCAAAACACCTCCATCTGGAGCATGGGACACATCTCCAAGATCTGCCAGAGTTGTAGTTACTATATCGCCATTTTGCAATTTTTCATCGCCATTCAGCATGCTGTCAATACCATGCGGCTCTCCTTCTTCCTTCTCATGTCCACCGGAAGGTAGCCTGAGATCAATGTCCATGACTTTAAACAATAAACTTCAAGAATATGCTATTCTTCGGTACCTGAAAAGTGGAGAAAAAGTGGGCGTTCAAGCAACTTAAAATATGAACCATGTTGATTCGAGTTAGAGCATACAAAGGACATGACAAACCACACAAGCCCCATATCAATAACAAATGCTCTTGCCAATATCGACCTCTTATATGATCCAATCAAAGTGCATTCACATTTTCAAACCATTTATTGCCTGCATTGCAAGCATTCACATGAGAGTGGCATAAGAATCAGCATAGGGTGATGGAATTACACAGCTTCAGAAGCAAACAACAGCCCATCTCATAGGATGACCACAATATAAAGAAAATGGACTCATATCTTTAACCACCTTGAAAAAGAACGGGACATGCATATGATCCTTCTGAATCCAAAAGAATAACATAAAGGAAAAAGAAGGAAATGACAAAAAATAAATACAATGGTTCCTTGTCTGATATATGGAATCTGGTATGAGAGCACTGTACTCAGCTCAGACAGGAAGTCATTACTTAGAAATGCAGTCAAGCCCAGTTGAAATTGCGCATGCTCAGGGCTATCTCATGTTCATCCAATGGTTCTGCAGCGAGCATCCAGCAGCAGTTGGGGTAGAATTCTCTTTCGTTTTTTTTTTTTTTTGTGGTCGGAGTGGATTTCTCCATTTAGTATGGGCAAAAATGGACAATAAGCCCATTTTGCAATTCTCAATTACAATGATGAGCTCCTATACATCTCTTTCTAAATAAAAAAAAATAAAAAAAAGGGACAAATGACACTACTACTGTTTTGCAAAATTAGATGAGGCAGGTTCTCTTTCAAACATATTTCCAGCTTCACTTAGGCAAATCGAAGATTGGCTTCTAAATAGCGAAATACTTATTCCCACATGATAAACCGAAAACTTGTAAAGAAAAAGTAGAGAAGCACGTCCCCAAAAGGAGAGAATTCGGAGCTAGTCGATTATGTTGGAAGAAGAACACTACACACATCCCAGAATCAAAACCCACCATTTCGCCTCACTCCCAGTTCTCCGAATTTCCTGACAAAAGAAAATACCCCCCATTTCCCCCCTACAAATGCCAATGAACATGATCATCACCATTTTAATTTGCCGAAACCAATGCCCGAGCTTTCCCATTACGATCTTCGACCTATCCTGAAGGCACGACTGTTGCAGGATTGGAGGAAGACAAGAAAAAGGAAACCAGAGATTGACAAGTGGGCAAACGATCGAAAGCCGACGAGAAGCAAAACGCCGGGAGGAGCAAGAACCCAAAGCCCACCGAATCGACCTCCTCAAAAACTCGAGAAACCAGCGGAATTCCGCTCGCGTCGGCCAAAAAATCCTTACTCGATACAGTCACCCACGTAAGCCTCGGGAGCCAGAGAGAGAGAGAGAGAGAGCTGAGCGAGCCCCGAGAACTCGCCGACCCAAAGAGCCCGAAGCGCGCGCGCGCGCCCCGACGCGAGCTCCGGGGGGGCCAGCGAAGCTTCGACCCCCGCGATTACGCGCGCTACATACTACACATAAGACACACACACACACACACCAACAAGCACCCACCCCACCCCACACCCACCAACCAACCCAAATTCAAAGCCACTTCCCAAGTTCCAACACCGCTACAGCTACGTTCGTCCATCAATGGCGACGCGCGCGATCGTCGACGACCCATCGCGATCGTCGTCGTCAAATTGCGGAATCCACTGCGGGGGAAAAAAGAATCGGCAATAGAGAGAGAGAGAGAGAGAGAGAGAGAGAGCGAAGTTGGGCTTACGAGCATCGACGAGCTGGAAGGAAGGCGGAAGCGGCGATTGGAGCTCCAATCTCTGGGAGGGAGCGTGGGATCTGACTTCTGAGAGTGGGGTGGGGGGGAGGGGAGGGGCCGCCTCACGCGACGGGGTGGAGCGAGTGGGGTGTGGAGGAAGGAGGGCCAGGGGGCACTGATCGCACTTGCCGCCGTTAGGGCTCCTTCGCCATTGCCATCCGATTTTCTCTCTCTAGGCTCTCTCTCTCTCCCCCTTCCCCCTTCGCCACTCGCGTTTTGGTCGCACTCGCACGCCCCGCGCGTGCCGAGGGCCGCCCCCTCACCCACGGGCGCGTGCCAGCTGTGAGCGGGAATTTCCCGCGCCGATATTATTTTTCCCGGTTTTGATTTAGGTATATTAGTTTTTTTTTCTTTTTGGTCGTGGATTTAGAAATAGATGTACCGGCAATAAATTTACTCCGATCAAATTTTTTGATCATAAAAAATCTTAAATTAGTACATTTATAACAAATTTACCCTAAAATAATTTTGTGATCACCAAAAACCCCAAGCTGGTACATTTATGACAAATTTCTCCTCTATTAAATTGAACTAATACAAAAAAAAAATCACAAATTCGTACATATAGGACAAATGAAGGGTAAAACCCTAATCTGGTACATTCGTCAACTGTCACGTGTCATTTAACTAAGCAATTTGACAGTAAAATTTAACAGAAACTAACGGAGGATAAGTTTGTCACAGGTGTACCAGTTTTGAATTTTTTGTGGTCAAAAAATTAGTTTTTGATAAATTTGTCATGGGTGTACCAGTTTGGAGTTTTTCGTTATAATAACCCTTGGAAATATTAGTTGATAATCTCATAATTTGAAGTATAATAGCTTTTGTCTCGCTTTTTTGACTTTCCGAAATTTATTTTTGTATTAAATAATTAACGGTTTGCACACCCGTTTTCGTTCTCGAAATAATCGCTCAATCCCTTCGGCACACGTGACGAGGCTACTCTCAACAGTGAAATACGGGAAGAAGTACATGATCAGATATGTTAAATGTATGGAACTACGTTGTAGTTGCATGCATTTAAATTCATACCATATGTAATGAGGAAAAAAGTATAGAAAGCGGACGAAAATGCGTTATGATGAAATTGGATTTGAATGTATACCAAATCATGACTCCTATGTTGGTATTTGCGTTTATTTAAGTTAAATGTAAAAGAGTTGAGAAAGCGGTTTTAATAAATTTTAAGTTTTCTATAATATGTCGAAAACAAAACCCATGCTGATAATTTATTGTATTATAAATTATAAGCATATAATTTGATCCACTTGCTCGACAATCAACGCATCAACATTGATGGAAGACCACCAAAAAAGAAGCTTCCTGTTTTTGCCTACGGGCGAAAATTATAATGGAAATATGGCCATTGGAAATGTAGTGCCGGTACCTGAAAAATATTCCAAAAAAAAGGGCCTTTATTTGAACTTTTGTTTTTACTTTTTATTTTAAATCTCCGACTTTTGTTGTTTTTTCAATTAGCTCTTGGAATTTTTTATTTTTTTAACCAACCCTTGAAATTATATAAATTTGACACAGCCGCACCACCTGAAAAAGGCATTTTCGTGATATCTTTTGCACTTAGGCAAATGGTCCATGAACTTTAGCCTAATATGTAATGTTGTCTTTGAACTTTTAAAATTTTTAATATGGTCTATGGATTTTTGGTATATGTTCAATTTAGTCCATAGACTATAGGAAAATGTTCGATGTTGTCCCTGAGCTTTAATTAATGGAAGGACAATATCGAACGTCTTCATATAGTTCGTTGACTAAATTGAATACGTATAAAAAGTTGAAAGACTATATTGAACAAATTAAAAGTCCAAATATTACATTGCACGTTGAAGTAAAGTTCATGTACTAAATTGAATAAATTTAAAGTTTAAGGACCATATTACATATCGAGCCAAAGTTCATGGACCAATGATGTCATTAATCCAAAAAAAATTACTATGACTGGTTCCTTGCCAAGGGGAAAGATCAAGTCAATAGTGGCTTTACTTCTTGGAGGTACAACTTTTTGACCTTTTACTCCCCTATGGTCCGACGGCCACGTCAGCTCGGATTGAACGGAATTGATTAGAAAATTCACGTGAATTCTAAAACTTTATAATGAAAATTTAAGAATTTGATTGAAAAAGGCACGTAATCTCGATATATTTAAGGACCGATCATTATTTTCCCCACTCAAACAAAGCATAATCTTTCAGAAAAAAAAAAAAGACAAAAACTCTCTCTCTAGCCATCAAACTATATCTCCCTCCGTTTTATTCATCCATAAGACGAGCTTTGGAATTTCGCCCCTCTTCTTCAACCTCCCGTATCTCAGCTTCGCTCTTCGACTCTCCGCCTTCGTAAACAGCTCAATTTCGTGCGGCAAGGCCCAGAACCGCAAGGTGAGCAGAGAAGCGGCATGACCCGTCTTCTTCGTTCTTTGGTTCTTGCTGATTCCGTCTTCAAAAATCACGGCTTTTGTTTTCCTCTTCTCTTACGTGGGTACGCGTGCTTTCGTGCACGAATCTTGGGATTGGAGTTGTGTGGCTGCTTGTAGATTCGTACCTCTTTGAATTTTCTCTGTTGTTGTCGCCTTTTGAAGATGGAATAGCGATGGGAAACGAAACAGCATTCACTGGTAGCGAATGTTCTGATGCTGCATGTCGAGTTTTGGGTTGCTTAATCTCCGCAGGTAGCCTCTCCAGATATGTTTAGTTTTCCTTGTGAGGTTGAGTCTGTGATAAAGAAAGTATACGGTCTCTCGATTTGTTTCTTAAGAAATTTGTGGGAATTGGGTATGATACTGCAAAATGGGTGATTAATCCCAAGCACTTCTGGCTAGGCGGAAAGATATGGGATTCCTTGTGGTGGTTCCCTCTTGAACTGTGCAAATATTACCCTTGCTGTACTGATTTCCCCGTGAGAGATGGATGGAAACGTCTGCATCTCAACTAGAATCACACGGTTGATATGGTGTATCGGGCGATTTCGTAACAGTGGCCAATGGTGTGAAGATAATGACTAAGGTATAAAATCATTAGAAATGGTTATGACTTGCTGGTGGAATATATGAATGTGTCAGGACCCAAGAACTAGGACTAAGGTAGCACTTGAATTTGACAACCGAGGAGAAAAAGATTAGAAGCTGACGAGGATGCTATAGAATTAAAGTAAACAAAGAACTTGAGTTAGGAAGAAAAGAAGAAGAAGAAGAAGAAGGAACTCGAGTGAGAGAGTATTCATATTCATTTAAATATATGGTCTTACAGTTAAAAGCAGCACATTATCTATTCTAAAAGCTGTAACTTACGGCTGTCACAGAAGTCTAACAATTTACCTCATCCCTCGTCTAGTAATTATCTGGATGTAGAAAAACGTTATATTCCAAATTATTCTCGAGTTTAGATCATGCCCATCTACATGATCCTTTCCATATAATTGTAAAAAATGACATATCTATGGATGACTAGAATGACATTTTGCATTTCTTTTAGGTAGCCTGTGTATAGAGGGTATGGTTATCTCTATGGAGCAAGCTTTTCATAGATTACATCACAAAAGTTCAAGAAAAATTACAGACCATATTAGTTCCATTATGAGGAATGTATATCAATTAACTTGCATCACTAATGTGCTTAAGGACGGTTGCTTAAGCGCATACAGGCCCTTGCACAGATAAGTGATGGCCTTTTGTGCATGCAATTTTTGTTCGATGAAAATTTGTGCAGTTTGGTGCATTGGGTTGATGATTTTTAGGGTGTAATTTAGTTATACCAGGCAAAGGATATATATAATTTGCCTTATTTAAAAAATATCGGACGATATAAATTAGCAAAAAGGTTGTCACAGGAGGAAATAAAGGAGACATGCCAAAATTAGTTTGCATGAAATTCATCTAATGCTATGCACATATGCCTAATGATTATTTGTAATCATTGTAATCTAGCTTCTGTGACCAAAGCTGTCTCTTGTTTCTTCTGGTGTTTTGGACGCATAAATTCATTTGCATTGTTAAATTGCGCTGATATAGACTATTTGGATCCTGATTCCCCACACTAACCTTTAGTGGTGATGGATGTCTATGGTTTCTGAGTTTTCACTTGGAAACTCTTTGCATCCCCTTTTCTTTTAATGTTCAGGCCAAGTAATAAGGCTTTTAATATCACAGACTCTTCCAGTGTTCTGTTTGTCACATAGTTGATGTCTGTTGCTTTTATTCAGGTCTGATCCTCGCGTTTCTTTTTAATATTTGGCTTATTGGCATTGCTCTTGATGGCTCTAATCAAGGGCTATCATTTTGCTTTAACTGGCTCAGGAGAACTCGTTTATATATTTTTGCCTAAAGTCCAGCTGAAATTGGCAGGAGGGTGGGTCGATGTCGTAATCTCATGTTTGCTTCTAATACTACAGGAGGTTAAATACCTATAAATCGAAACATTATCAGATGTAATCATGGAATGTTCTCTCCCTGTCTCAACCCAAAAAGATCGGCTCATCCCAGGATTCAAGTCCAACTTCCTTCCTCCAATTTCTCCTTTGAAATTTGCGAGGCATCATTTACTTTTCAGGCACACTGATAAACAATATGCGTACAGTTGTCCTTGCCGTTCATCGCTGAAGATCGTTAAGAATCCTTCATTGGACAAGCATGTGGTGAGGCAAAACAAAATTCGCTTTGTTCTGAAACTGAAAACACTGCTCCTCTCTAAACCCAAACACTTCATCCCGCTTCATATTCTTTCCAAATGCCGGTCCTACCTTTCACTCTCAGATTCTCGCTCTATTCTCTCTATGATACATCGATATCCAACTATTTTTGAGCTCTTTACCATCCCTACACCACCCACACCATTTAATGCAACGAAGTCGTGCTTGCAGCTCTGTGTTCGTCTCACGCCAGCTGCATTTGCTCTCGCAGCCCAAGAATCCAATCTCAAGTCAGCTCTATCCAATGTCCTGGCTGCCAAACTGCAGAAACTTCTTATGCTCTCTTCTCACCATCGCCTTGTTTTATCCAAACTGGCTCACCTTGCCCCTGATCTGGGTCTACCTCCAAATTTTCGTTCTCGCCTTTGCAATGAGCATCCAGATAAATTTAAGACTGTTGATACATCCTATGGCCGTGCTCTTGAGCTCGTCTCGTGGAATCCAGAGTTGGCTAGACCACTATCATTCACAGAAGTTGATTCTCGTGAGCTCATAGTCGATCGGCCATTGAAATTCAAGCGCTTAAAACTCCAGAAAGGGCTGAATTTGAAGAGACGCCATCAGGACTTCTTGATCAGGTTCAGGGAGTTGCCAGATGTATGCCCCTATACCACTGTTGCATCAGAGCTAAGGAAAGAATCCATTGAGGCAGAGAAGAGAGCATGTAGTGTTGTACGTGAGATTTTGGGCATGACAGTTGAAAAGAGGACTTTAGTAGACCATTTAACTCATTTCAGGAAGGATTTTGCTCTCCCTAATAAGTTGAGATCTATGATTATAAGGCATCGAGAACTGTTCTATGTTAGCTTGAAAGGGCAGAGGGATTCGGTCTTTCTAGTTGAAGGATTTGATGACAATGGTGCACTTTTGGAGAAGGACCAGTCTTTAGTTATTAAGGATCGACTGATGGACCTTGTTATGGAAGGGAAGAGGATCAGAAGAGAAAGGAGAAAGAGTGAAATGAACAATGATGACAATAGTAATTTTATCATGAAATCCGAGGAGGCATACAGGGACTATGGGGAATTTTATGATGATGGTTTTGAGAATTTATTTGAGTCCGAAGATCCTGATTGGGATAGTCATTTTGACGGTGATCATGAAAGTGATGAGCTGCTGGGGGAAGGGGTGACGAGAGACTTTTGGATTGCAGATGCTTCTTCTAGTCTCGGAGGGATAGACGCACGTTCAGAAACTTGGTGATAAGTGAAAAGTAATCACAATACTGTAAGTCCTCGAACACAGTTTTAAGGCAGGACGAAGTCCTTAGGGGTACAATTGTTACTAGAAGCTCGCAGAAACCATCGCACATCCTTCTTACTGATGCAGTTGAATGGTTTTGTTTTCTCATTAATACTAGTTTCCTCCTCATTATACTTACTGAGCAATGATGTTGGTAACAGGTGAGCAATTCCAGCTAACTTCCTTCTACAACCAATGACTACCACGGCTAGCAGTTGGTATCACCACTACTATCAATTGAAGATGCTACTATGCAAAGGCCTCAACCTTTAGCCAGTAAGTAACAATCACTATCACTGGCACATGGGATATATGCTCCGTTGCAAAAAGGATAGGATGACCTGCCTACATTCCATCTGTTTAAAGTTCATGGCCTTCAAGCTTTGTGGATATTATGATTTGTCACGTCATTACTTAATTTGCTGGCTGAGCTATATACTCTATGTTGCAGGTTGCAAGTTCAGCGAGCATAGCAGAAGTTGTGACACAAGTGTGGATGATTTTTAGCAACATTGTCGGGTATTTCAAACTTGAATCAGTTTTGACTTGACTCTGAAGAATATGCAGGTTAGTTTTCTTCAAGCATGTACTGATAAGAGAAGACCATGTGGCGGGTTGGTCTTTTTCAAGCATGTACTGATTAGGAAGGCAAGCAGATATCAGTAGGTGACGCTTTGGTTGGAGGCTCTAAAGAGGGTCAGTGATGTGCTAATGTTGCAGAGGCAGGGCCTAATTGTCAAGCAATTTAGTTAGCAGCATCACTGGCTGCTGGAAACGATGGGCCTTTCTTACCATTGAAATCGACTCTGCCACGGTCTATAATAGTTGCAAGGGGAACAAGATGGTTTGGAGTTGGAAGGCCAAGTTCAGGCTAAATAGTATGCGCAGTCGATTCTAGTGTGTCGACAAGCAAATGTAAGCTACAACTGTTCAGCTGCTATTGTTAGAAAATGGGATGTCCCCAATGGATCAGAATGGAATACTCTTATCTAGAAAATTACACATTTTAACTCAAAATTTATGTGTAGTCAGGGTAAAGTATGTTTACTGCGGATATGATGGTACTTGGGCTAAAGTCAGTGTGGATATTTTGTTCCATGACGAATAAATTGTGCGGTTGTGCCCTCATGTTTTCAAGGTAGAAACAAGTAGCCATTCGAGTTTGTATGCGACGACATGGAGGTCGATTATGTGGGTGTTTTTCTACAACAATTCCGGATCTCGTGCATCTATGGTCGAACTCACGTGTTGCGGATGATCCGGGTTTCGGCTAGCTATAAGATCAAATGCATTTGGTCTATAGCCCATACAGTGTCCATATGCATTTGATCTATAGCCCATACATTGGGCATGGTTGGGGCATGAATGACAAGGGATGTGTTCATCTCTGGACAGACTACCATGAAGTATGTTCTTTTTGTGCTGTGATGATTATAGTATATATAAGCACAGAAGCAGTCACTTTATTAGTTTAAACTTCAAAATTCTCTCTACAACCTTTCAAATTATTTCTACTTAAAATAAAATTACCGATCATATATGGATATTACTAATAAATAGGAAGTTACTGACCGCGTGTGATCTGTTACTTTCCATTATTATAAGTTACTCAAACATATTAAAAGCTACTTCGCTACACAAGAAGATTACTTTAACGATTATGATGGAAAGTTTGCTCCCGTGACAAACTTCATAATTTTTCAAGATTTCTTAGTAATTTCATAACGTAAAAGTAATTTAGAACTTTCCGAAATTAGTCGACAACTTATGAAAATCTCAACAAAATAGGAATATGATCAGTATTTTTTTCTTCCGCATTGATTTCTAATTTCTCAATTATGGATGTAATAATTTCCCAACATAGGTCTAATTTCCATAAAATTAGTAGTCCAAAGTCATCATTTTTGCTGAAAATCTTACTCAAAATCCTGAACGCCACTTGCCCGTTAGAATTCCACTCGCTTGATCCAACGGTGCTCATCGTTTCTTCGAAAATGAACACTGGAGATGCCCCGAAACATTATTATTTGCGAAAGAGCCCACGGGATTTTGGAATATGCGGAATCACCGACAAGGAAAATGGTTTACGACAATTACACAATAGTCCCTCAACTAGTCGATCTTGAACACTTAATTTGTTCAATTTAATTTTTGAACTTTAGCTCAACTTGCAATTTTATCTCCAAATTCTTGAACTACTAGTTCTTAGCCCATACGAGAATTTTCAATAATATTTGAAATATCGAATAGTCTGAGAACTAAATTGAATATATATTAAAAGTTCAGGATATACATTGAACAAATTAAAAGTTCAGCACTTTGGGTTAAAATTCAAATGCCACGTTGAACAAATTAAGAGTTCAGAGACGGCATTGCACATTGAGCAAAAATTAAAGGATTATTCGTGTCATTTTCTCAAATGGTTTATGATCATATTTTTTTGGGTTAATACCACGAAAAACCCCAAATTAATAGATCTATGACGAATTTAGATCAAATTACCACAAAAAACCCAAAACTGGTACGTTCGTGACAAATCTAGCTACCATTATTTTCCGTTAAATTGGATTACTACCACAAAAAATCTCAAACCGGTACACTCTTTAACTGCCACGTGTCATCAAAATTAGCAATTTAACGGAAACTAACATATGATAAATTTATCACAGATAAATCAGTTTGAATTTAGTTTGGGGTACATATGTTCCGATTTAGAGTTTTTCGTGGTGTTAATCTAAAATTTTTCTTTTTTCCGAATTTTTGTGATCAAATAGGTCGTCAAGGAAAGACAAATAAAACGACAAAAGTGGGACCCACCAAAAGCCCCACCCCCGCCACAATTAATAACTCACCCCCACAACTTTACCTGCTCACCTAATACTCGTACACATCTCATCTGTACATAGACCGTACCCTATAACTTCCCCCCACTTAACGTTCGTTTTTATTTATATCTATATATATATTTTTATTCATATATAAACTTTTATAATTAACCCTATATATTTTTTTTTGCTTCTTCTTTTCTTTTTCTCGGTCACTCGCAACTTTGCGCAGAAAAGCTGTCCCCCCTCCCCTCTCTCTCTCATCTCCTTCCTTCTCACTCCGCATCTCCACCGCTCCCCTCCTTTCTTGATTCCATGAATCCGCAGCTCCTCTCCTCCTCCTTCGTCACGGCCGTAGTGCCGGCGGACCTCGTCGCGTTGCAGTAGCGGGCGCTTGCTCAGTGGCCGGAGCGGACGGCATTATCCCGTCAACGAAGGGGTCATTATGGCTTTGACTCGGTAAAGGAGCTCTCTTTCTGTGTGTGTGTGTGTGTGTCTCTCTCTCGCTCGGTGGCGGGGCTCGCGGTGGGCGTGTTAGGGTTCTCGGTTCGTTCGTTCGTTCGTTCGGCGGAGATTTTTTGTGTCTTGCGGAAATGGCGAGGAAGCACGGATGGCAGCTGCCCGCCCACACTCTGCAGGTATTGATTGGCCCCCGGCTGGCTCTCTTCCATCGCATTGTCGTTTCTGGTGAAGTTCCTTGCTCGTTCGTGTGAGCTGGACTGTGATTCGCTTCCTCCCGCGCGCTTTTTGCCCCCCCTCCTCCTCTTTTTTTTTGAAGTGTCTGCTTTCTGAGGCATTATGGGAGAGGGAGTGAGGTCCCGCGTGGTGTTCGTAGATTTCGACGAGCTGTTTCCGGTTTGTGGTTCGTCTGCCTTTAGAGCGTGCTCCCGGGGGGGGTGGTGAAACTGGGTTTGTGGACATACGAATGGAGCACCCATCGGTGGAATTTCTGCAATTTCTAAGTTGAAGTACGGTTAGCGCGGTTCTGATGGGCCGTCTGTGTTGCTCTTGCTGAAAAGGAAGTGGGAAATAGCTAAGGAAAGGGCACAAGGATTCTTTGCTGCCCGCTGATTTTGATTGCCTCATCGCCGCCTTTGATCGCCCATCCCCGCCTGCTTAGTGCTTCCTCGGATATAGTTGTGTGTAAATAAGAAGATGCGTTCTTGGAGAATTACCTTCTGTGAACTTTAGTCTGGCTAACTCAGATATCTAAAGCTCACATAGGCAACTCTTGGGGGTGAAAGAAGTGCCGTGAGCTGTGAAGCTTTCGTTGGTTTGCTTGTGAGAAATTGGTGAGATGAGCTTTCGTTCGTAGTTTGAGAAACACGAAAACAGGCGAGTATGAGATTGTGGAATCTTCTAGTCTCTATGATTTTTTTTTTAAATAAAAAATTTGCTGATATGAGAAAACAAAGCTATATGATCTGCGGGGGGACAGTTTTTGGTAAATTGGATCCATACATCAATCAATAATATGCAACTTTCCTTGTTCTAAAGGATGTTACTCATAACCATCTAAAAAATACAAACTACCATTTCTCTTAATAGCTCACATGGATGAGAAAGTCGTCCTTTATTGGTCGTTTAGGGAAACTTTTGTGTGCTAACTATACAAAAAGTGACGAGACAAGGAGTTGGACAATTTCATGTCCATCTCCAAGACAACTTGATATATAAGTAACAAGATATGTAAAAAGTGTAGCTAGAGGGAATGAGATAGATTCTTGCATCTCTTCGATTTGCCAATCTGCTTTTGGTTCTACTTCCGGATGCTTGATTTTCTTTTGGAGCGTGAGGTCTTTTATTCGCAGTGGTATTTTTTTGGTCAACGTTCATTCTTTTGTTCTTTTGGGGATTCCACCGTTGCTCTTTTATGCTCGTGCTGGGGCTTGGATATCTGTCGCCCACATTACCGCTCGATTTTATGTTAAAGAAATTTTCTTTCTTAGAGAGGAGCGCTGGTTATTGTTTATTGATTGGTTAGATTTTTGGAGTACCACAGGCCCTGTGCTATTTCCAGGGATTGACCACCCCTCCCTTCTCTCTCCTATGCCACCAGACCGAGATGCGGTGGTGACTTGTGAGAGGACGGCTGGGTATGAAATTGTATGCTGGTCTCAACAGCTTGGCAAAGAACCTTGAGTTATTTGACAATGTTTTATCAATCTCTCGGGTAAAATATATGTTAAAACATCTAACACAACTTTCTAGATGTCTTGAAATTGTCTCTAGTTGGCCTTGTTAATTGAGATCTTTGGTGGTCCTCTAGTCTTTTTCTATTGTAAAGCATTCATCATTGCCAAACTTACTCTGGCACCTAGATTGCTCTTTTATATATTATGGTTGAGACATGATATTCTAAGAGCTTGAATTTTCACTATGTAGGTTGTCGCAATTACTGTGTTCTGCTTACTGGTTATCGCCTTCTATGCTTTTTTTGCACCTTTCCTTGGAGGACGTGTGTGGGAATACATCTTGATTGGCAGTTACACACCTGTGGTATGTAAAACTCTTCTCTCTATATTTTGAGGCTTTCTTGTCCCATCTTCATTATCTTTATTTTTTTGATGTGATTTTATATTAGTTTATTTGGATATTTCTACCCCTCCTTTATGGGCTGTTCTTAATTTGCTTTTGGAGTTCAGGATTTTTGTTTTTGGTCTTTCAATGAGAAGACCGGACTGTTGAGTAGTTGCTATCATAGCCAGTACATTATATTTTGCTTCATTTAGTTCTTTGCAAGTGTTATTTAGTTCTCACAAAGGTATATGTCTTGTTTTTCCCCGCTGGCATTGCAGGCACTTCTTGTTTTCATTCTTTATGTCCGGTGTACTGCAATTAACCCTGCAGATCCTGGCATTATGTCAAGATTTGACCCACAGTCCAGAACTAAAACTAACCAGAATAATGGGTTGTCTGCAATGGACCCTTCTGGAAATCTTGATGAAGTTGGTGCTGGTGTGCTTTCCTCTCCATCATCAGTTTCCAAAAGTTCCATAGCGCCAACTTATACTAGTAAGAAAGTCTTGGATGGAGATGTGGAGAGAGTAGATACTTCTTCGAATCCCACCCCCATCGCGAGGAAATCTGGTTGTAGAACTGGAGGAATTTTGTGTGCTTTATTTGTGCGTGAAGATTGTCGAAATGAGAATGGTTTGACTGAGCAAGAGGGCACTGCTGAAGATGCTTTGTTTTGCACACTGTGTAATGCTGAGGTAAATCGTGTGGCTTCATTTTGGTATTACTTCACAGTTTCCTTAATGAGCACTTATGCATAGTCAGTTTTTGTATGGATATCTGTTCTAGTGAGAAAGTTTGTTGGAATTTATTCTGAGCCATTTCATTATATAGCTTAGAAGGTTTGGTAAAACCTCTTATCCGTCCATTGTGCATACTTGTGTGCTATTCCTGATCACAACTCCGTTGTGATTATGGATGAATATAAGTTACAAAGTTGAAGGGGTAGAGAAAGAATTAAAATAGATGTGGCAAAGTGGGTCAAGAACCTACTTTTTAATTCAAACACCCAGGCCAGAGAAAATGGATACAAATCTGAAAAATGAGTCTATAAAATAATAGCCTAGCGAGATGCGATTTCTTGAGTTTTCATATAATATGCTTTCAAGCCATTAGCGAAGAATAGTAACATAATTCCTAAGTCACCACAAACCATAAAAGCCTGAACACCCATACACTAATCTCTTCTTCACGACAGCCACCACCTACCGCGCCCGCTACCACTTGCCTGCCCCATTGTCGGCCTCGCCTGCTTGAGTGTCTCTCTCATGTGTAGCTCCCCATTTCCCCGTCTCATCTCACTCTCTCTCTTGAGAACCTTACGACAACTGCTGTGGTCAACTGCTCCAGCATGAGATTGCGCTCCTCTTCAAGCTGCAAACCTTCCCCTTCCCTCTCTCTTGCGTGGCCGCATGCTCATATGCAGCAACCCTATGGAGGTTGTGGACCTTGGGTGACCTCACGTTGGAGGCTGCCTGAGGTAGCGGCCTCACAGCATGGTCGCACTAGGCAGATACACAAGCACACACCCAACAGACGCCCACACTTACCCACCAAACCATCATCATTGGCATCAAGCACTAGCACTAGCACCGCTAGTGCCAGCTAGTTGCCTTCTAAGACCACTGCCATGCTAGCCATCAGTGCTGCCACTTCCATCCATTAACCGATGTTGCTATCATTGATCAGTTGGCTAGTCAATGCGATAGCCTCTATCTTGAATGAGTATCCACTCCTATCACTGGCACCATGGATCATATCCTTTGCAGAAGGATGAGAACTGCTTCTATGCCATCTGCTGAAAAATTCCACACACTTGTGTATGCTCTTACGTATGTGTAAAGTGGTTTGTCCCACCATTATCTGGTCTGCTGGATGAGACATATATTCTTTCCTGCAGGTTCGCAAGTTCAGCAAACATTGCAGAAGTTGTGATAAATGTGTGGATGGTTTTGATCACCATTGTCGGGTACAGTATATAACTTAAATTGGTTTTGACTTTATTTGATGATTAGAAGTTCACCTATTTTTACTGTTGGCTAATCTCAACCCATATTGCATTGCTGTAGTGGCTTAACAATTGTGTGGGACGGAGAAATTATGTCACTTTCATATCTCTCATGGCCTTTAGTTTGCTTTGGGTGAGTACAGTGAATATTCATTTTAAAGAAATTGTTTCTCAACTGCTAACGATGCCATTGCTTGTCTCAGCTTGTCATTGAGGCGGGAGTTGGAATTGCTATCTTTGTACGTTGCTTCGTTAATAAGAAAAGTATGGAGACTGAAATTGTTGACAGGCTTGGAAATGGTTTTTCTCGGATCCCTTTTGCATCAGTGGTGGTATGTTTCTTGTCAGTAATGTCTTAGGCTATTCATCAAATCTATGTAATGGACTGTTACATTGCATGCTGGCTGTTTGTACTGCAGTGCATTAGTCATCAAATCTAAATCTAATTGACTGTTATATTGCGTGCAGGCTGTTTGTACTGCAGTGTCTGTGTTGGCTTGTGTACCTTTAGGTGAACTTTTCTTCTTCCACATGATACTGATTAGGAAGGTGAGCAGATAAACTGTGTAATCGTAAACAACTATTTTAGATATCCTGATCGTTTGTAGCTGTAGAGTCTCTTGTTCTGGAGAAGCTAAGTTTTAACTCCATGGGGAAGTTAAACATGCAGGTTATGTACTGTCTAATTAAATCTAGACTAGTGTCAGAACCAGTCAAGAGACTGGTTCACGTACCGCTTAAACTAGTGAAGCCACCAGTTCAACATAATGTTTAAACTCTCCACCTAAGATTGAGGTCGAAGTGGCCATCCATTTTGAGATGGGCGTAGAATGCCCAATCACAAACAGGTTGAATGTTGGAAATTTTTTTGGTCGTTTTTTTTTCTTTTAGTGTTTAGATCTGCATTTTGCCTGATATGTAAAAAGTTTATACCAATCCATGAGCAAATGTTTGGTCCAATGGTTGAACAATCCCAGGAAAGTGTGCTGACATGGACTTCAGCTTATTATTCCTAGATTATTGTTTCGTCTTTTATTAGAAGAGTCAGATGATTGGATCGGTTCAACGTGGTAAAACCGTTCAGCTTGATCCATTGAACCAGGGAATGCCAGTCCAATCCATGTTTTGACCAATTTTGTTTCTTAAGGATCAACTGGACCAGGCATAGCCTGCTTCATGACTAAACCTGCCATTTCCATTTGGTTTCAAAACCACTGTTTTAGAAAGCTACTGGAATTTAAAAGAAATAGGAGATTGAATTATTATTTTTCTTTGTTAAACTTGATGGTCCATTTTCTTCCCTAGGGAATTACAACTTACGAGTATGTGGTGGCAATGAGGGCCATGAGTGAAGCACCTGCAGCAGCATCCATAGATGAGGAAATTCCTAATGTGCTGTATTCTCCATCAGGATCTGCTACAACTGGCTTCAGTGGTGGCAGTTCTCTTGGTTTGCAGTACAAAGGTTCATGGTGCACCCCTCCAAGAGTTTTTGTGGACTATCAGGTATTTCCTCAGTGTCTATGATGTTTTTATTAACTTTGGTGCATTCTAGTTTGACGTAATGATCCAAGTGAGCGCCATGGCATATCCTTTGCAGCAGATTCCTGTCCCTGTAGGGCTTTAGATGGCTGACTACTCAACTTTGAGATCACTTTCAATAAGTTAACCGATCTTTTTAGAATATTCAATCGGATTAAATATCTGTCCAACAAGTGACAAATGCTGAGATGTGACTAAATTGAAAGTGTCTCCAAAGTTAATTGACACAGAAATAATTTACTGAATCGTTTTTACAAAGGTCCAGTGCTTTTTGTCCTATGTTCTCTATCGTGATGCGCTTTTGCCTTTCCCTACTGATCAGTTACAGGGTTTGTTACCCTCTCGGTAAAACGCTGATATGCTTGCACTTTTCATGATCTGTTTTCCTCTTTAAGTGCTGATTCTATCTTTCATCATCATTCTCCCTCTTTTGTGCAAGTTGAAGTTACTCTTTTTGTTTATGTATTGGATGTCATAGATTTCCTTAGGCAACGTTTTTTCATCGTTAACCTCCCAACCATTCGGCTGGTGGCATGCTATATCATACCATCTTCTTCATGTGCATGGTTTTTCCCTTGTGTGGGTGTCTCGCTTTGATTGCAGAAAAGCATTTTTTTCCAATATGCCAGTAATAAGCTTCGACAAAGTTGTTGCGTTCTTACATAGCTATTATACCGCTCAGGACGAAGTTATACCTCACTTGGAGCCTGGGATGGTTCCATCAACTGTGGACCCAGATGCAGCTGGAATTGTAGACAGAGGGCAGAAGGCTCTGAAAAAGCCAGTTCGCATTAGCGCATGGAAGCTCGCCAAATTGGATTCTCATGATGCCATGAGAGCAGCAGCCAGAGCTAGGGCATCGTCCTCGGTATTGCGACCTGTTGATGGTCGGCGTTTACATGATACTGATTTAAGCTCTAGTGAAAACATTAGTGTGAGAAGTAGTGTGAGCACCGACATGGGGGCCAATAAGGAAATTAAAAACGATCTGAGGATGCCTCAGGTTAGGAACTCGTTTGCTCCTAGTCAGGGTAGCCAGGAAGAGAGTGAATTGTATACTCGAAGTGCAAGTAGCATGAGCAGTCCGAGCCATGTTCACGAGACTGTTACGCTTAGCCCTCTACCGCAAAGCTATGGTTTGGGTGTTTCAGTTCCTGGAATTGTTCCTGATCGGCCTGTGACTTCCGGGGCAACTTATTCTGGTCTGAACAATCCAGTAACAAATCCTGGACTAGGATTTGATAATAAAACGGTGCAAAAGGGAAGTAGCACTGACCCATTACTTCTATCGGCTCCAGCCCACTCTATTCTTAGAGATGTCAAAAGGACATCAGTTGTTTGGGACCAAGAAGCAGGTAGATACATCTCGGTCCCTGTATCTGCTTCAGAAGCTCGAAATAGATTATCCAATCAGACCTTGACAAAGCCAAATCCTAGAGTAGAAAAGAGCAGTTATGGAAGACAGCTTCCGCAGCAGGAATCTTCATCTTCTGAGGCAGTATCGTCAGTGCAGCAGGCAGAGAAACTTACATACACGGGGGATTCTATCTTCTTTGGTGGTCCACTTTTGAGCGTCCCAGTAAGGGATAATTTGAGAGCCGAAGGTAGTCAAGGTTCTAGAGAGGCTTTCGAGAGAGTGGCACTGAATTTACCACGTGAATCTCGGTTTAAGCGGGATGCGGCTTCAAAGCAGTTGCCAGTGTTCATTCCGGGGGGACTTGATCAGAATCCTCCATCTGGGTCTGGTTTAAAGTAGTGATTAGGTGATCAAGTATAGGATTCTGACTCTGAATGCTTGGTACCTCCTCCAAACATTAAGTTTTGGTGAGCTGAGAAATCTGAAGTTGCTTGCGGACACACGATGATTGCAATTTGTGCTGCTGACCAGTTCATTCCGGTGCATTTACTGACAGATTTATCTGTTAGCATCATGATGTATTTACTCTGTTCAGATTTGTTAATGAGGAAGTGCTCGGGGATATTTCTACCCTCGTCCAAACCGAAGTTATTTGGCGGCCGCATGTTGTAACGTCATCAGCATTGAGATATTCAGGGCCAAGTTTTATGTTTGTCTCTGGTGAGCAGGTGCGACTGTCGTCTTTACTATTTAATCTTGTTTGTACATGTAGAGAACAACCCATCCAGGCATGGGAGAACTTCTTCTGCTTTCATCTGATAGGTGTAGGTTGGCTATTCCTCGTGAATGTAACTGGTACTCCATTAATCGACTTTTGCTGCAGCTTTAGGACCAACATTTGCTTGGTTCCTTCAAGTGTACCCAATATGCATATTCTCGAGCGATGATTTCAAATTCTCATTTGCACTGGCTCAGCATTAATCACATTATCTGTCAGATCGCCTATTCTGATTTGTCTGGGCACCTTTAGATAATGTATGCCAAATATCTAATTTTCCCCCTCACCTAGCATTCTACAAACCACAATATAGTGACATGGTTGAACTGGCAATCTTTGCTAGCCTTGTTTGTGTCCATGCGTACTTTCAGGAAATCAAGTTGGTGTTGGATCGACCTTTGTTGATATAGCTTTTGAGTGAGATTATCTGAACTCGGTGAACACCCGAGTTAAATCGGCGGGGGTTTTCTGAATGTGAAACTCTGAAAGAAAAATGTGGCTGAAGGCCAGTTGTGGGTGGTTTGGAAAAGCTCACGTGCACGGACCCGTGTTTGATATGACTTGCTTAGTTTATTACTTGCCTAATAGAAGGAGGCTCTCTGAATAACTTTTCGCCGAGTTCTCGTTGATTTTCCAATTTGTTACTTGATTTGAGAGTTGATGCATTTTAGTAATCTAATCTCGGCATTCGCTGCTTGATCACGCGGAAATCTCCTCGCAAACATCCACAGTGAATGAAATCCATCATATAATGCAAGACCAAGTAACTCGAAACGCAAGACTGGTTTAAGAGGATGGATTTTTCTAACGGCGAATTCAGATCTAATTAGACATCCATGATCTTCAGCCCCGGTTCGTGAATTTGATCTCTTGATGTTCAAGGGCAAGCCTTTTAACTTAAACTCGCCTTTTAGTGATGAGGTTTATCTTTGTTTGATTTGACTTAGATATTGTCATTGTTTCCCCGAGTGCCCGTCTGCCTCTACAACATCACACATTTGACTGTCGTTTGCTTCTGTCCATTCCGTTTGTCTCCATTGCAAGAACTAGAAGGGGTGGATTCAATGAGAAACCAATTTAGTTTCACAGTCGGAGGAAATGGCGGGCGATTCATACACGAGACCGTTCGATAAAGCTTTTCGAAACAGGTTTGACCGTGAAAAAGGATGCTGTAGTTTTTATAGGGGAAATTACCAAAACAATCTTAAACTTATTGTATTGTGCCAATTTAATCCTAGACTTTTTTTTTGCTAATTCAGTCTTAAACCTTTTGCATTTGTGCCAATTCAGTCTATCCGTCCAATTTTGGCCGACCGGCGCTGACGTGGACGCCGGCCGACGCTGATGTGGCAATTTTAAAATTTTTAAAAGATTTTTTCGAATTTTTTATATTTTTTTCTTGTTTTTTTTTTTGGCTTTCCTTCTCCCCCGGCTGGTTCGGCGGCTACTGGTTTGGCGAGGGTGACGACCTCGCCATCACCGGTCGAGGTCGTTGAACTAGCCATGACTGGCGAGCTCGACCTCGCCAATGGATGGGCGAGCTCGCCCTTGCCATGGCCGACCTCGCCCATGGCCATGGTGAGGCTCGACCTTGCCAGATGTGGGCGAGCTCCACCTCGCCCACATCTGGCCATGGCTGGGCGACCTCACCATCACGGGCGAGGTTGGCCATGGCGAGGGTGACGACCTCGTCCAGCGACGGCGAGGTGAGCTTGATCTCGCCATGGCCGACCTCGCCCTCGCCATGGTTGGGCGAGCTCACCCTCGCCAGACCAGTGGCCGGCAACTAGCCAGGGGAAGAAGGAGAGGAAAAAAAAAATAAATCAAAATTCGATTGTTTTTTAAAATTTAAAAATTGTTACGTCCGTGTCGGCCGGCATTCACGTCAGCCCCAACCAGCCAAAATCGGTCGGATGGATTGAATTAGCACAAATATAAAAGGTTTATGATTAAATTGACCAAAAAAAAGGTGTAAGATTAAATTGACATAATTATAATATATTTAGAACTATTTTGGTAATTTTCCCCTTTTTATACGGTATTTGGACCTCAGAGTGGTATCGCCTCCGGTTTTCAGCAGATTTTAAGAGATTTGCGTCAGCCCAGTTTTCAGGCGGGCGTGGTTTTAAAGCACGTATCACTAAAAAAGTAAAAACATAAGAGCCATGGCAACCGCATCGCCGCAACTCGACTGCAGTTTCAGTTGCGGCCGTACCACGAATTTGAGGTACCATGGTGGTAACAGACTCGAAAAATCGTGTCTTCCGCTTAATCATAAAAGTATTCGAAGGGCGGCGAGGGGGACAAAATATAATTTGACATGTTGTTGGGGACGAGTGAGCAAATTCTCTTTTCTTTTGCAACTTTTCCTGTCTATTCAATGGGACTCATTCCTACGCTTTACTTTTGCTTTATTTAGGGGTTTAGGGCGGCGTCATTTTGGGCGGTATTTGGGAGAGCCCTTGGTTGACCATGTGAGTAGGTTTGACCTTTTGAACTTGGGCCCCATACCTTAAAACTACCAGTCCCAGCTTAATTTTTGTGGGCATTAAAACCAGAGAGGAGAGAGATCCAGTCAAGATCTATACATTCTGCCCTGTTGCGGGGCCCCCCCCAAACCCATCTGGGCCCACTTTTCATTCATGCCGAATATTTCATTTAAAAACTTTGTTTTAATAAACCGGAGGGGTTAATTCCAAAAAAAAAAGCACCAACTTTAGGTATAGGGACAATTTTGGCCCGAACTTTTTTTTGTCTCATAAAAAAGTACAAACTTTAGGTCAAAGGATAATTTTGGCCCGAACTTTTTTTTGTCCAGTAAAAAAGCACCAACTTTATGTCGAGGGACAATTCTGGCTTCAACTTTTTTTTGTCTCATAAAAAAGCACTAACTTTGACTTAAATCCCAAATATGGACCCCATTGACTTAGAACCATTGATTATCTAACTTGACTATTCCACATTAGCAATAAATCCACGTGGCTTGCTAACTGGATTTAAAGCAATATTTATTGTCTTATTCTCTAAGCCACAATTTGAAGAATAACGGTAAAACTGTTCATCTCCTTCACTTCACTGACAAGTCGAAAATATCTCCAGATTGAATCTCTCTGGTCAAACGTAATCTGAAACTGACCACTGCCTATCAACAAATGCCATGGACGAGATTCACCAAGCTCATCACCATAACCTTTTTTCTCAAACAATGGTGAAAATCAACAGGGGGCCTGATTTGGGATCATGATGAAAGTTGGTGATTTTTAATGACAAAAAAAAAAAAAATAGGGCCGAAATTGTCACTCAACCTAAAGTTTGTACTTTTTTACGGGACAAAAAAAAGTTCGGGCCAGAATTGTCTCTCGACCTAAAGTTTGTGCTTTTTTATGGAACAAAAAAAAGTTCGGGCCAGAATTGTCCCTCAACATAAAGTTGGTGTTTTTTTTTGGAATTAGGCCTAAACTGGAGTAATCAGCATAATACCTGTTCCCTAGACAAAAATTTCTCACAATATCACTAGATCATAGATATATTCATGTGCGAATTACAAGCGATAATGATGCCAATGGTTCCCGAGCTTTGGCTCAATATTCAATATGGTCCCCGAACTTTTGATTTGTTCAATGTGGTCCTTAAACTTTGACCCAATGTTCAATGTGGTTCCTGAACTTTTAATTTGTTCAATGTGGTTCCTAGACTTTTGATATATGTTCAATGTAATCCCTGGACTATATGAAAATGTTTAATGGATTAGGGACAACATTGAACATTTCAATATAGTTCAATGATTACATTGAACATTTACCAAAAGTTAAGGGATCACATTGAACAATTAAAAGTTCAGGGACCACATTGTACATTGGGTTAAAATTCAGGAATTGTATTGGATAAATTTAAAATTCAGCAATCGCATTAAACATTAGACCAAAGTTTAGAGATCATTTATGTCATTTTCCCTCTTTCTTCGTAATCCAAACTCCCTAGGTCTAGAGTTGACAGACTCGGGTTCGGATCCCGGGTTGCGTCGCTGCTGAGCGGAATGCCCGGTTGGCTATTCTCAGGAGTCATTGCCGGCCCCTTGACACAGCGATCAGCCGAATTCCAAGTCCATTATTCAACGTTCAATTCAGGGGTTCTTGACATATATACACATTGCAGTTTTGTAAACGCCACGCATTCAACGCCATCAAAGCCAATGTTGAAAGAAAAAAACAGTTCCCCATCCAGATTCTTCAAGAAGTGGTGACTATTTCACTGAAAAATTTCCTTACCATCACATTCAAGTGTGCCATCTGTACCCTTTACAAATCCCGAGTCTTGAATTTTGGGGTCCGTTCAGAAAATCGAGGGAAATTGTCCAATTAGTCATAAACATATTATACAGAAGTCAATTCAATTTTAAAATTTTCAATTTTACCGTGTTAGTCATGAACTTTTGCATGAAATTCCATTATAGTCCTTCCGGTCAATTTTCGCCGAAATCGCTGACATGGCGGTGTGCCATGTAGGACGACCGGCGACGACTGTACCGCCACGTCAGCGATTTCCGGCGAAAATTGGCCGGAATGACTACATTTCAATTTCGTGCGAGGGTATATGACTGAATTGGCAAAATCGAAAAATTTAAAACCGAATTAACACCCGTACAATAGGTTCAGGACTAAATGGAACCCAATAATTATTTACATGTCGGAGCGTTGAGAAGATGTGTCGAGTTTAGTGTCTCAAAAGGGTTAGTGTATCGTCGGACGGAACGAAGCTTATTTCAAGTGACTGGTTCCTTAGAGAAGTGCCTTTGCTACATGAAGAAAGGCACGCGTTGGGTGCACGCATGTAATTTCTTTGGTACGTGATTAGGAGAAGAACCTACTTTTAAAAATTGCTCTTTAAGGATGCTTAGACGCATAGAACTTCTATTTCTTTTTCTCCTATTTAAGAGGGAAAAATCAGCACATGGAAAAAAAAAAAATAAAAATAATCCATTTTATTACATTTTTGCCACCGTTAGCAAATCGGTGCTAAATTTAATTATTTTTTTTGGCCTAATTAAAAAAAAAAAGCACCAACTTTACCTTGATTGTCAATTCTGGCCTGAAAGTTTGTTTTGTCTCATAAAAACTAATTTTCACTTAAATCTCAAATCTGGCCCGACCAATTTGAAAATTTTACATCACGGGGGCCAGAT